GGGGGGGGGGTAATATTCCAATGCATCTGCTTGAGCTGAACTCTCTCCCCTTCAGTCTTGTGCTGGCACTCGTTAGCTCAAAATTTTGTAAAAAATGTAAATGGAAAAAAAACAAAAAAAAACATGCAATTAAAATTTTTGGGAGGAGACGTCCCATGCGCCTTCTGGGAGGAGACGTGGGAACGTCCAGCAAAATCGTAGAATTGGTGGCATTCAAAATGGAATTACAAGATGCCATTTACCAGATGACCTCTGGGTCAGACGAGACTGGCGGTTAAGTGTCGCAGAGCGCCCGTGCGCGCTGTAAAAGCGACTCGAATGTATACATGAAATTTCAAATTTTTGGCCTTGTTTTCCCTGCAGAATAGTTTGAACCCAGAACTTGTTACATACAGTTCAAGCCACGTTTCTTGGTGGGTTTTTTCTCGTTTTTCATTTGATCGGCAACTTCTGAGATTATTACAATCGGATACATTTTTTATGTGCAATTTAATTTCCAATTCCCCAAACTTTTTAACTATTTGCGCATTTCGTTTCCGAAAACGTGGTTTCTTCAAAGTGAATAGACTATCCTTCTGGAATAAGCTTTCATTCCTTTTTGCATATCTGTCTATTTAACTATTGCCTGCGCACACTAAAGAGGAAATGAATCAGAAGGAACTCACGTTGTCATATTGAATGTCACAGTTCTTCAAAACTAAATTATCAACATTTCAGTCACTTTGAAGTAATTATTCTACGAAAAATATGCAATAGAAGTTCCATCTGATTCAAAACAAAATTTTCTCCGATCGCATGCGAGCCGCAAGTATTTCATTGGGAATATGTATCTAAGACTTAAACTAACCCAAAGTTTTTGAAGAGCCTCGAACAAATGAAACTTTAGTCAAAGCATAGATAAGAATTCCTGTAACCTCAATACTGTGGAATGTTGATTTTGGAAACATTCTCAGCATAAAAATCCTAATCTTGCATTTGTAGAATACATGTCCACTCGAAGTAGAAAATCTTGCAATAAAAGTTGCTGCTCTTATCTATGTACGTGTGCGTTTTTGTTTTTCAATGTTGGTCCTTCCCAGACTCCCCGCCTCCCCTTAGAAATGAATGTATGAACTCCTAAATTATCCTGGTATTTTGATTTCTTCTTTTGGCAAATTTCGCTTTTCATCTACCATAACTTTCTATGTAATTTCAACTCATTGCAAATTTTTCATCTCTTTACTTTCAGATAAAAATGCCGCGTGCAAGTAAAAATCAGGATGACAGTAGTAAATTGACTCGAATAGCTATTGTCAACAATGACAGGTGTAAACCTCGAAGATGTCGACAAGAATGCAAGAAGTCGTGTCCAGTTGTACGCATGGGAAAACTTTGTATTGAAGTTGCTCCAAATGACAAGATTGCTACGATATCGGAAGAACTGTGTATTGGTTGTGGTATTTGCGTCAAGGTGATGAATTTTTTTGTTGTAGTTTTGTTAACTCTATTTGGGACACACCCAAGTACGGTGGTGCAGAAAATGCCCAATCACCGGCGAGCGTGGGAAAATGTGGAAAAGCCCCCAAAATGTGGAAGGAGGGAAAATTTTGAAGGGTCTTAAGTCGAAATTCAAAGAAAAACATGGAAAAAGGCCATATTTTTTAAATTGGTGGAAAATTTTGTGAAAAACTGATGAAAAAAATGGAGAAAGCCTGCCGGCAGGTGCGTGAAAATGTGGTAGCTTGGAAGATTCTGCAACCCTGTCCAAGTATTGACGGGAGGGTTATTTTAGAAGTAACTGAACAGGGAGGCTAGGCAGGGATTCACTAGGGTGGCCCGAAGAACAGTTTTTTGAAATCCAAAATGTAATATTGCTTTAAAGTTGTGTATTGATATCGGCTTGAATCGCTTTTTTCACACATATTTTTTTTTTAAAAAAGGAAAATTTTGTTAGTTTCTATCTTCGGTTTTACAAAAAATTATTTTTTTATCCGTGCGTATTTTGCCAATTTTATCATACTTTTCAACCAAAGTACAAGTCAATTAGAGCCCTCGCTTTTAGAGAGTGAACTCATTTCTAGAGGTATTTGAAGGTGTGCTAATAAGTATTCAAAGCGGACTGATCCAATGATTTTCTTAATTTTTTAAGCAGCTTGGTAAGCAGGTATAAAAACAGCCCGTGGTATTCAGGGGCTAGTTTTATAACTTCAAAAATTCAGTGCCGATGTATCACTTCTATCCTCTCAAAAAATGGAAAAGAATATCTTCCTTGTTTAGGGTTTTTTCTACCTCAAAAGTAACAATTTGTGGTAAGCAGAGTAATTTTGTTCCTAATTGAGCACAAGAAAAAGTTAGCATTCTCCTTCTTTTGCTTATGCATTAGCTTTACTGTGTATATCTTACATTTTTCTCATCTAATGTGCTTTCAGAAATGTCCCTTCGAAGCCATTACCATTATCAATTTGCCAAGCAATTTAGAAAGAGATACTACGCACAGATACTCGCAGAATTCATTTAAATTGCATCGCCTACCTATTCCTCGGCCTGGAGAAGTCCTAGGTTTGGTTGGAACCAATGGTATCGGCAAATCCACAGCTTTGAAGATTTTAGCGGGAAAACAGAAACCCAACTTAGGACGTTATGCTGTAAGTCTGTTTTGTTTAAACCCAGAAAATTTTTCTAATCATTGATAATATTTTATTTCTCTTGCCTTCATGGGTCTTTCCTTAGATTTAACAGGAGAATTTTGTAAAGGGGGAAGCAATTTGAAGTAAAATATAAAAGCCTCCGAACAAGAATAAACAAAAATATATTTTTTCATTTTGCTAACTCTAAGACGCACTGTGAGAACAGAAGAAGAAACTGATTTGAGTTCCCACAGAGAAGAAAACGGGTCCTGCCCTTGAGAAGTTTATGAATAAACTGCCATTAATGATCCCAAGTATTTCGAGGATTTCTGACTTTGCAAAATTATACTACCAATTTTTAAGGAAACATGTTAAAACGACTTATATTAGAAATGCCCAGAAGGTACATTATCATTCCTTAAAGTGAAAACCTCCGGAAATTTGTGACTCTAGTGTATTTCAATCATCTATTTTTCCCTGTTTTTGTCAGAAGAAGTATTTGGTTCAAATCAACAAAACGTTTCTGTTTTTTTCTCTTAGTTCTTTATTTGATTCTGAGCCGAATGAGAAAGGAAGGTTCAAGTTGCAGCTGGAAACAGTGTCCCTTATCCTTGCTTTGGTAAACAACTCAAAGACAACTTGCCACTGAGTTTGTTGTAGTTGCTGTAAAACAATGTTGCTTTAAGGGTTTCCAAAAATAGCGCGCAAAAATAAGCCCTGCCCCCACAACACAAAACAACTTTGTACAAAATACGACTGTTGCGTGTTTTCAGCAAAAGTTGCAAGTGTTGCTTGTGAACAAAATATGCCTAGTCTTAAAATTAGCTTTCTAAATTGTGTAGGGTTTACTCAGTGCTTGGTAAAATCTAAAAGGCTTTAATCAGTCTACTTGTCAAACAAACTAAAAATTTTGAACTCCACTTTACACAAAATTTAGACAGAATTCTGGGGGGAAAAGACGAAGAAAAATCAATTTTAATCAAATTTAGTATATCTACCTTCCTAAGCAGCACAAGAGTATCCCTAGTGAACATCTTCTTCCTTAGGTACAATTATTTTTGCTCTTCCACATGGAAAATGATCAATTACTCCAAAAAAGAGAGAAAGAAAAAAAAGCTGATTTTTTTTTTTTTTTTAATACAGTGGTGTTCAATCAGAGTGAAGTTTTTTACCGTGCAAGTTTGAATGTGAAATCAAAAATTTAAAAATACAAATTTAAAGAAAAAATGTATGTCAAAAGTATAAATGTGAAGTACCCTTTAATTGTGATCGCAACATGAATTATATCAGTTCTCGCCTAATATTGTTGCAGAACCCGCCTGATTGGACGGAAATATTGAATCATTTCCGAGGATCTGAGCTTCAAAATTATTTCACCAAGATTTTAGAGGATGACATCAAGGCTTTAATAAAACCACAATATGTCGATCAAATACCAAAGGCTGTCAAAGGAACTGTGGGTCAGCTCCTCAAGAAAAAAAATGAACGCGATAATCTCCTAGAAATTTGTCAACTCTTAGGTAATTCCATTATTTTTTTTCTTTCATGGTCAGCTGAAATAGTAATAGAATAATGAAATAGTAATGCTTACGCCAGACCAAGATATCACTGGCAAGTTCGTTTCTAATGGGTCTGTGTGCAGCTTAACATTTCATGCCTCTTGCACCTCTCAGCTCTCACAATTAATTGTAAAATCAAGTTTTCTAGCAGTCTGAAAAACCGAGAAAGTCATAGAATCAGTGGGAAAATTCAAAAAATTTTGTGAAAAGTGTATGAGCTCCTTCTCACCATTGATATCTTTTGAACAATTTCTAAGTGCCTTATTTTATCCTTTGAATCCAGTGGTAATTCGTCCTAAGAACAGGAGTCAGCATACTTTTCAAAGTCAAGGGTAGTTGAGTCAGCAAAAAGTAAAAAAAGTCAGGGAATTTGAAAATGAATAACTTATAGAATCCCTGAAAATTGGTAACAATATAGTCTTTACAGTTGCTATTCCTCCCGCTGAAGCATTTTTCTTGATGTAATGAAGTGACGGCTAACCGTCACTTTGAAATGGATCCTTCCTGAGCCTACTTTGCAGTTAGAGGAGGGGAGGTTGTTACTTTTCGAAAATATTCCTCCCTAGCTAAAATGTACAACCGTTCAAACCAGAAAATTTGAAAAGTTACAATGGATTGAAAATTCGTTTCCCCATCTTAGTAGTACATGTCAGTGAATATGCCTGTACCTCAATCAGCATATGAATGTATTATCTATTGGAACATTTTCAGAGTTGGAGAAAATTCAAGAACGATCGCTGGAAGATCTCTCCGGAGGAGAACTTCAAAGATTTGCATGTGCCATGGTATGCATCCAGAGCGGTGACATTTTCATGTTTGATGAGCCATCTTCATATTTAGATGTCAAACAAAGACTCAAAGCTGCTGAAACGATAAGATCTTTACTCTCTCCTGATAAGTACGTAGTCAATTTTTATCTCTAACCTTAAGTGCTCTTGCACCCATTTTCATCAAATCACTTTTTGGAAGTAGACATTAGAAACAATAAAATAAAGTAAAAAAAAATAACAACAATAATAAATTAAGCCAAAAAGTTTATAATACTTGGTTTTCCTCAACAAAAATAAAAAATTGACTGGTAATCTGTAACACTGCTAACCTATCTACATGATTTTTTATTTTTTTTACCTTCGATTTTTTTCCATAAAAAATTTTAGAATTCAATCTTATAACATTAGTTAACTTCAGCACTATTGAAAACGATTAAAGTAGCTTAAAACCTAAGTAGCTCTCTAATAATTCAGTTGTCTTTTTTTGTAGGATTAGATGTTTAAGTTAATTCTATTAGTTTTCTTGATCAAGATTCCAGAACATTTATGATTTAAATGTAGTTAAGTACTTCATCAGTGGGTCTAAAGCATAAATGGCTCATTAATGAAAAATATGACCATTTAAAATGCTGAATCGTAAGAGCGAAACCCTGTGATTTTTTTTCAAGCATGTAAAAATTAACTAAATAATGCGAAAGAGAAAATCTTTCTCTACACAATTTAAGTTTTTTTTTTTTTTTTTAATTACTCTTTTGGATTTAGGCGGTTTCTAATCTGCCGACGCGTTTTGTTCCACTGGCTGGAACGTAACGTATCTGCAGATTATAAATTATCTACGTACAAGTGAGTAATTTTAAACAATTTCCATCATATTTCTTGTGCAGCCTCCAAGGGGGCATTAATTTTTTTTTTTTATTAGTATACAATCTACTACCTGCAACAGTATGATTTTTATATCTCACTTATCATTAGTTTAAGAGTCAGAAAAAGAGAAACTTACTTTTTATACCCTAATAAATATCTATATTTTGTTCAATTCCAGATTCATCATTGTCGTTGAGCACGACTTGTCGGTGTTGGATTATTTATCCGATTTCATCTGTGTTTTGTACGGTGTGCCAGGAGCATATGGTGTTGTTACTATGCCATTCTCTGTCAGGGAAGGTAAGATAAATGATTAAAGCTACTGAAACAAGTACTATTTACTATGTTAAGCTCCCATTACTTATAATACAATCAGATTATAATCATTTATTATAATTTGATTATTGGTTCAACAAATCTACATAGTCATTCTGTGGTTTCAGCTCGTGCACTATTTAAAGCTTTTCATTACCGCACAGTTTTGACAGTTTAATAAACTAATTTGATCAACTCAGATGAGCTGAAAAAACCACCAGTAAAGAAAATACTACTAAGAGAAAAAAAATATGAAAGAAATTTATGGGGAAAACAGTAGTTTATTGTCAATAGGTCAGTTGCGCTGGTCACATTAGCTAAAAATAATAAGATCTGTCCAAACTGCAATATTCTATGTTGAATATTAACGGAGTTATCGCCCATTGAAAAGTCGGGTTTTTGACGTCATTTGCTGCAGTAGTGACTGCCTTGGTTCCTTTCACCTTGATTTCATCCAAGTTTCATGTTAAGTAACCAGTGCGTCACTGACTGATGAAAGCAAGGTGGAAGGAACCACGGGTGTCCCTACCGCGGTGGATGATGTCAAAAACCCGAATTTTCAAAGGGTAATATCTCGGTTAATATTGAACTTAGAAAGTTGCGGTTTAGACAGATCTCTTTATTTTTAGCTGATTAGCAAGAATCAAACATCAAAACACGATTCTGTGCATGCAACTGAACCATTAACTTGCTGTTGTCTCATGTCACTTAACACAAGGTTTATGAAAACATTTGCTGCAACCGTTTGAAAAAAGAACTGCCTTAGCTTCTGCTAGATTGCAAAGGTCTGCAAGGTGAGACTCAACACCCTTCAGGCGAATAGATGGGGAAAAAAAAGTGAGTGTTAAGGGATGAAAGAGTCAGTTGTTGTTTTTCCACTTTGATTTGTTTTGGTGCTAATGTCAGCATCTTTGGTTTTTGAGGTTTTAGATTTTTTAATGAAACGATAATAATGAAGGAGGAAAAGAGATAAAAACGAAGAGCCAAAAATAAGTGAACCTTAAAGTATTTAAAAACTAGTGAACTTATAGTTCATTCTTGAATAATCAACTGAATTTTTGCTCGTGGAAGTGTTTCTCAATCGTTTTATTAAGTTCAACTTTTTACATCAATTTTTTTCCCAGGAATCAACATCTTCTTAGATGGTTATGTCCCAACCGAAAATCTACGTTTTAGAGATGAGAGTTTAATATTTAAGGTATCGGAAAGTGCAACTGAGGAAGTGAAGCGGATGACGCAGTACCAATACCCAAACATGGCTGTTACTCTTGACAGGTTCAAGCTCTCTGTCAAAGCTGGACAGTTCACTGATTCTGAGATCATTGTTCTGCTGGGTGAGAACGGAACAGGAAAAACTACATTCATCCGTGTATTGGCTGGTCGATTAAAACCGGATGAATCCTCAGGTATGCTTGCCGTCATGTATATATGGTGATTATAGTTTTCAAGTGTTTGAGTGAATGGAAAAAAAGCCAATGTATACTTAAAAGTAATTTAGTTGGTATAGTAATGAAAATTGGTGGCATTAATGATATAAAAATAGAACAAAATACTTCCTCAAAACCTCAAGGGTCGTTGGAGAAAACCTTAGAAGTTGGGGATTTTGCTCGCCATCTTGAAAACTCTTGATTCTTTGCTAAAAGAAAGCAAGAATTGCTACTGGAGTTTAGTTTGCTAATCTTACAATCAGCTCATTTACCATTGGGTTAATGAAAACAAAATTTTAAGTGCACTTCTCATAGACGGCATATTTTCACCTCAAAATTGCAAACAACAAATAGTATACTTTTTACAGTTGCCTTTTACTTTCATGACTTTTTATTTTTCAAAATAGCATCCTCATTTCAAAATATCAAATTTATTCTCGCTCTCAATAAGATTGTTTTTTTTTTTTTTTTTCATTAAAAAATTCTTCCGGAGAATTCACAGACCCCAATCTTGAGACGAACAAAGTGTTCATCACTTTTGTTTGGATCAAAATTATTAAAATCTTATGAGGAGAATGTTCTATTCATCATTGTAATAATTTCAATATTTGCAGAAGACTTACCTGTCCTACACATCAGCTACAAACCACAAAAAATCAGTCCGAAAGCACAGGGATTAGTACGGCAACTTCTGCATGAAAAAATCAAGGATGCGTACCAACATCCTCAGGTACGTCAAAGATTGTTTATGTTACAGAAGTAGGAATTTTTAGTGGAATATAAAAATTCTAGAAATACTTTAAATGCCGGCCGCAGCAAAATTCATATTCCCGATGACTGGTAATCAAGGTAATTTACTAGAATGCGATAAAGTGATGTTACACTTCACTCTCGCGACTGCTGCTGATATCAGATAAAGATAAGATCGTAATAAGATATAAGATAGTGAGAAAACAGCCGGCAAACTCTAATGTGCTGACGCCAAAAAATGGACCAGAGCAAAGCAAGCTATCGCAAACTTTCAGTGTCTAATGAAAGCCTGATGGGAGGTAGAAAAAATTTAAAATTTTGGGTTTTTACTCCATTACACATGTACACAAAGCACACAAAATTTCATTAAATTCTGAGAGGAAATTACGTTAAATTCTGAGGGGGTCAATTTTTCAAATTGGTAATGGTTGGCATGGAATAACCCTATGTAGTTATGCAGGTGTACCATCGCAAAAATGAGGAAATTTATTTTTAATTAAGGTTTAGGTCAATTGTCTCCAAGTACGGTTTTGTTTCAGTTCATCACTGATGTAATGAAGCCACTTAAAATTAACGATATCATCGATCAAGAAGTACAAAACTTGTCTGGAGGAGAATTGCAACGTGTTGCTCTAGCATTGTGTCTCGGCAAACCTGCAGATGTCTATCTCATTGATGAGCCATCTGCTTATCTTGATTCCGAACAGCGTTTGGTTGCAGCCAAAGTTATTAAAAGGTAATATTGATGAATTTTGAACATTATTAAGAGACCCAGGGGTACAAAAAATGCCCAATCCCTTGGTCTGTAGACAGAAGCAAACGTGAGACTAATCTTGAGATGTAAAGCAAATTCCCAGCTTTCAATGGGAGGTTTCAAAAATTAGAAGATTTTCAAGTGTCTGAAGTCCGGCTACTTTGCAATTTTTGCTGTGTGGCTAAAATGATGAATCACAAGAAAACACTTCGAAACTCTTTTCACCCTCAAAGAAATGATTTTTTTTTTTTGTTTTTACTCCTCAAATACCCATTTAAAGTAATCCCACACTCAGAATTGCATGCCTTTTCAATCCCTGCCGAAAAACCAGCCCCAGCATCGGTAAGGTTGAGACCATCAAACATGAGCAACATATCATTCGTCAATTGAACCTAAACGTTCCGATAACAAGGCCAGCATCATAGCTGCTACATTATAGAAGGATAGCAAAGATAAAAACTAAGACAAAGAAAAATTGGGTTGTAAATTTTTGCTCAAAATTTAATCAGGAAGAATGGACTTCTGTGACTCAAATGTTTGCTTTCCATAAAATATTCAAGCTGTATTTGCAGGAAATAAAAGTTTCAAACAATGACTTCAATTAGAGGATTGTACCTGGCCAACTTTTTTCTCTTTGTGATGCCGACATCAATGGCAGTGGACCAGAGATTCCAAACAAGGACAGGGATTTCTTTAAAAATTCCAAAAGAGAAATCTCCGAAGCCAAATGGAACAGTTTGTTCAAAAGTAACTCCACCTGGCTTTTTTATATTCACTCTTTTCTAGAACAACTCTAGCAGTCAGAGACTAGCTACAGATAAACGCTGCTACTGCATGAAAGATTTTTGCCTGGATGATCATTTTGGGATCATTTTGTCTTTCTACACAGTTATGGTCATCAAGAAGTTTTTATTTAATTTTCAGGTTCATTCTTCATGCTAAGCGAACTGGCTTCATAGTAGAGCACGATTTCATTATGGCAACATATTTAGCCGATCGTGTGATTGTATTAGAGGGTATTCCATCAGTAGAAACAACTGCCAACACCCCGCAAAGTTTGTTGGCTGGAATGAATAGATTCTTGGAATTGCTTGGAATTACCTTTAGGAGAGACCCTAACAACTTTAGACCAAGGATAAACAAATTGAACTCGGTGAAGGTAAGCTTTTCAAATTTTTCGCACGTTGAAATTAAATCCTTGTCAAAAATTGTACATGGTCAGATTCAGGTGATAGAGGTGATATTTAATACATATTTTTGCTTTCAATATAATGGGTATTAATATTACAGGCAAATTTTTGTAAACAAATTTGATTAATTTCGCTAACCTGTGTTAGTTAATAACTAACACAGGTTAAAAAAAATAGGTAGTAAAAATTCTAAGGATTCCATCAAAGGAGCATATATTTTACAATTTAAACAGAAGCTCCTTTGATGGAATTCTTAGAATTTTTATTTGTCTTGCCGGTGGCAGCATCATTAATTTCTCTCCTTTAACACAATCCTCACAAGCATTTACAACTAAACTAAACCAATGTAATATTGACCAGAGAGGAACGAAAAACATTTAGCTGCTTTCAGCCACTGTTCACCAACAGATCGTGATTGATGAAGCCATTTTCATCAGATCAGAAAAATTCTATCTATGAACGATAATAATCCACTTGATTTTACTCATAGACAAAATGACCCTAAGATTTTATACCAAAGACATCCTGCCCGCAGTCATTTTATTAGCTGCCTTGGACGAAAATGGGCGACACATATCTGAACACACATATCCTTCCTCACATCCCCTTAAACGCATATCCTTCCTTCACGTATCCTTTCCGCCTATTTTATTATCTAATTACATTAATTTTCTTGCCTTTTTCTTTCAGGATACGGATCAAAAGAGAGCAGGTCAGTATTTCTTCTTGGAGAGCTGAATCGGATGAAAGAGATGTTTCTTTCAATCTGTGAACAGCCAGTTACAGAAAATACTCCAACAAAATCAGTACCTCAGCATTTGATCGCGAAAGCCGGTTAAAAACTTGGGAGGAAGCGAGAGGAAGGATAAGAAGTTTTTTTCTCCGTTGGCTTTAATTTGACCAGTGAGATTTACTTTGAACAAATTGATCGCAACAACACAAGATTTAGTGTGCTTACTTCATATGAGGGGCTTGCAAGACTAGGCGCAGGAGTGCAGTTTTTTAAAAAATTGAGATATTTATGAACTCAACTAGAACTAGTTTGAAAGTACATTCTGTGAAAAATTCACAACGGAAATCCAACTTCAAAGGATTGTGAGTTTAAACTTCCCTTCCGCCGTAAGGCTCCATGTACTTTTGAAACTTCATTTCTTAAAATAGTAAAAACTGCACTTATGCGCCTTGTCCTCCAAGCCCCTCATATGAACTGCTGAGGGTATCTCAATACCTGAGAAGATCATAGAACTGAGTCATTTATCCTCTCCATAGCTCAAAAATTCTCCACTGGTTATCGTCAGAAGACATTGTAAATACAGCCCTTCATAATCGTCAGAATTATAAGATTTTGCTGGAAATTATCACTACCACAGAAAGCTTCCCCAGGCATTTTCCAACACTGAGGCATTTCATACTTTCGTACCAATCAAAACCATCATTCATTCCTACAATATTCTCTCAAAAAACAAGTTGAATCTTGGCATATAATGAGAAGTTTTCTCAGGAATTAAGGTTTTCGCACAGTAGAATTTTATAATAAACTCGTCTCCATATCTTTGAAGTAATTTTCTCCTGTTTTCTTATTTTTTCGTGCACTTCTTTGCTATCACCCCAATACTTTGAAGTTCCTTCTCATGATACGAACTATGTTTGAAGTGGAAGTGTTATTAATAATAATATAATTTTTTGCGAGATGTTTAGCATCAATTGCCCTATTTTCAAATAAATTATTTATCATGTTGTAATAGTCAATCGTTTCAATTACCTGTTTCGTCAGTAGGAACTATTTTGTTTCTATCTAGTCTCAGTTAGGTGTTCATTCTGATTTGATCATTCTTTATCTTATTTACTGTGATCTAATTGTTGACTTTGTAAGCTTTCTTTGGTAAATACCTGGATAGTTTAGCTACCATCAAAGTACCAACTCAAAGTATTACTTTTCAATTTTTCAATACCAGCCGTTTGGAGTGCGCTCTCATGACCAGATGAGGGGGCTCCTTCACTATCTGTCACTTGCTCCAAGACTGAATTCAAGGCTTGATTTGCAAACCTTAACGATGACAGGCCACTAAACTTATCTTCTTGCTCTAGTCCAAGGAAAAAAATTCAATAGGAATTTGATCTTTTTACCATCTACAGCCTGACATACTCTGTCTGTCCCTCTCTGTTGCATTAGATTGAGCTGTAGACAGCCTTTTTTTGTCCAGCCCTGTCAATTTATTTTTTCAGAAGTGATTTGAATCAGTGAGAATGGAAGCACACTAACTAAAAAAAATGAAAATATCCAAGAGACAAAAAACTGCGCTGTAGGTGAAGAAGTTAAGTCTTAGAAAAAGCTTTTTGGTGCCAAAGGACAATTACTTTGGAACACTTTAATGATCCAAGTTGACATAGGTGCGTCATCCTCGATGACTTATGAAAATTAGGCATCTTTAAGGAAATTAAGGCATTTTTAAGTTTCTGAGATGTTGTTATTATTCTCACTGATTCAGTTACAAAGAGCGGAAGCGTGCCAAACCTGCTGTTAATTTTTTTAAGTCATAGAAAGATAAGTTTTTCCCCTTTTTTTCTTTTTAAAAAAAAATTATCCTGGCCATTTGATGAACATATCGACGGTGTTAGTCGGCAATCACATAACTCGGTTTGCGACATCGCAGACTTCCTGTCATACTTTAAACGGAAAACTACTCAACGGCAATTTTTTAAAACCGCCGTGATTTTTCTTCTCTGTGCAAAGAAAATTCTGCAAAAACTTTAGGGAATGATGTCAATTTGTTCTCCTTTAATAAAATAACATAGGGGCGGAGATTTTGAGACACCGCAAACGAGATATGTGATTGCAGACTTACTCTGTCGATATGTTCTTTCAATGAAAATACATCCCTCTTTGAATTATACCTAAAATACAAGCATTTCAATGACTCAGGGTATATATTTCCAAGCTTTTTTGAATTGTTACAGATGAAACAAAGCCTATAACTACTGTCGAACTTTTGGAGAGCTTGATCCAATAACTTATTTACGACTTACTACCTTTAAGGCTTATTTATTCAATGTGGCTCCCACATCTAATTTTTTGTATCGTTTTGATACTTTTTACTGTATTAAATTATCAGATCTTCCAGTTTGCACTTGTGAGACTGTGATCAAATTGAACTTTTTGTTCTCTCATTAAGTTGTCTCAAAGAGTCTGAGAAATTTGCAAGTCTTGTATCCTCTAACAGCATTTATAATATCAATCTGACACAAAAACCTAAGCTTTCTTCAAAATCTTTGAAGGATACTGTGTTAACAAATAAATGAGTGAGGCTAGAGAGGCTTTTGTAATTACTGTAGCCTGTATTTTCTGTACCGGACCAGATGAAGGTCTTTTGTATAATTTTTGAATAAAATTTTTTTAGTTTATCTAAGTTTCATTACTTACTTTGTCATTGTTTTCTCAACATAAAAGAGTATGAGATAAAGTAGATGGAGAAAAGAAGGTGCTAAATTACTTTCTGTCTCTCTGTTGTTATTATTGGATGAATTGGAGAAAATAGGAATCTGAGGACAATAATTGATCTTAAAAATATCAGTTGGCGAGACAAATCGACTCCCACATACCTACTTTAATAAGTCTATTCTTTAATAATTTACCACGAATTATGGCTATGTTAAAAAATTATGGTTATTTCTGGAGAGGTATATGATTGTTGTTAACCTTCTTCATCAAGTCATTAGAGAGAGAGAAAAAAAAAAATTGTGCTATGGTTTGACCTAAAAGAAGATGAAATAAGTATGTTTAGTGGCATGATTAAAACACTGAGAACGAGTTTTAGTCTTTTTGTTTTTATTTATAATTTAAAACACAGACAAATTTATGTTAGGAGTATTTACAAAAAAAGAGAGGAAAGTTACAAAATAAACACAATCAACTTTAACTTTTCATCTTGATCCTTTCAATTTATGCAATTCACTTAAGAACTTTAAATTCACTTTAATTAAAAATAATGCTGGAAAAAGCCACACTCATATCATTTACACAAAACTTATCTCACAAAAAGGCACCAAGTGTTAATAAAAATGTACACAAAAATTAAAAAAGTTGACTCAATTCGAAAAAGGTTTTGATCTAAACTGAGTTCAAAACGGGAAGGGAAAGTCGATTTAAACAGAATAAGAAAGTTGCCCTCGAAAAAATCATAAATCTTACTTTTCCATAAACAGTGATTCTCGTAATTTCAACTCTAACCAATCTAATCATTTAGCTTACACTTCGAACAACATATTTGGACTGTTCAATTTTAAAGGGCCCAAGTACCAAAAACACAGGTTCCCGTAATACATCGAAGCTTTCAGAGCTCAAGAGTTTCTATTACTTATACTCTTTTACAAATAAAAGGCTCGATTGTTGATGGTTACACTTTTTTTTCAATTCAGCATTTAAAAATTGATGAAGTTGAACCAAGAAGCATTTGAATTAAGGTAAAAACCTAATGGCGATTCAGTCCATAAAATGAATCTCAATATCTTCGAACTTTTTAAGACAAATAACTGACACTATGGGGACTACAAACTCAATGAACATCTCTTTGCTCAGCATTGAAAAATACAGAAGTAAGGAAAGAAGGATAAACAGTGTGAGAGCAAGAAAGAGTATTGTTGTATCATCAGCTGTTGATTGACTGGTTTTCAGTGAGTGCACGTTGAGAAAAGTTCAGATGAGTGACATTCAAACAAGTTAAATAAACTATTGTACTGAAAGGGTGGCAATGTGTTGGAAATCGTGCTAAAATCAGCATAAAGCTGAAAATCTCATAGAGGAAATTGTGTGAAACTGTGTTTGAACTACTTCTTTCCCCCTATCACGAGATTTTTAATTTGATACTAATTATTGCACACAAAGGCAAACACAACATGTCAGTGGATGAGACTTGTACATCAGTGTTTCAGTGCAGTTCTCGCAGTCAATGTATACAGAATTTGAGCAACAGACAAAACAAGCTGAAGATCGAAAGATTGGCTTTTGTGGTGACCTACGACCAGTATATAGAGAGAATACGGATTGGCTCACTCTTCTGCTCAGAGGTTGATGGGAATTCCGCAGAACGGCAATGTATGCACAATAATTTTTAGTTTAGAAAGATAAATCTTCTTTTAAAGATTTTCAATGCATGTTTATCATTTTTAACTCTCTAGAATTTTCAGCATAAATTTTAAATCAACTTGACCGTGGAATTCTAATCTGCTTGCAATCTTATGAAACAAATTGAAGTTCAAAATTAAAAAATTGTGTAGGAAGTTCCTTGAATTGATGGAAATTCAATTTTTTAGAAAGTATTTTATTTTAAGGTTCAAGTATGTGAATCGTACACTGAAACTTCTGATTATAGGATTTTCTCCGACTAACCATCAGTGAGTTTGGGCTGTTCTGCTCTTCTGTCCTGAAGTTGATATCGCACGTTGTATTTACTTACATTTTACTCTTAATTGAATACCTGACTTTTCTACAATTCGAGTCGCTAAGAAAAAAAAGTAAAGAATAATTAAAACAATGCTCCAATTGTGCAAAAGATTTGCCAACTTGACAGAGAAAATTTTTCTAAGAGACATACTTAACAACTGTAGGTGCACACAATCTTTTTTCACTGAAAACATTTGAAAAAGTAAGTTACCTAAAACTTAATTTTTAATTTTTCTGACATATTTTAATGTACCTCATAGAAGATACCTGTGTTTTTCCTTGGCATTAGACAAGATAATGAGAATATTAATTCTTGTCCAGTGCCTACAGTTAGAAAAGAAACAATTCATGAGCACAGTCCTTTAAAGTAAGAACAAAAACCTACTTCACCCTTTCGTTGTACCTCTAATGCGACAATTCCTCAGAAAATGATATTATATGCGCGAGAAATAAAGCTTGAGCCCGTTTCCCATAGTCCATTCAAGTCTGGACTGGTGTCTTACAAAAGAGAGAAAAAACTGGTTGCATTAGTTGCTATACAATTGTTTCCACCTTATAAAATTGATAACATGTTGATTTTAAAAACTGAATAAATGAGTCTTTCCTCATTCAAACGAAACTAACTGCAGAATTCACGGAGTTATGCATCAAACTAACATCGCTCATTTGCAGAATAGATTGGTTTTTCCTCTCTAATACACACCGTTAAACTTTAATACCTTGACACTATCAATTATTTAGCTGCAAAAGCTGCCATTAACACTAAACGAGAAAAAAAAAAGAAAATATTAATGTAGTATTAATCAGTCTACAAGAAAATTCAGACAAAATGATGAAGTAGGTACATGGGTGCACAGATGATCTTAGCTTCAATCATGTTGATCACAACTACGTCGTAATCAAGAATATTTAAAATAATCATTTTGTCATTTTATGCTACTTTTTAACACCTTTTTTTCAGCATAAAATAATATCACAGTCAGGAAAAGAAAAATACAGGAAAAAGAAACATAAATGGAAAAGCAAAGAATAAACACTGAAACCGAAATATAAGAGAGCTGTCTAAAAAGACGATAGCATCAAATTATTCATATTTCATTAAGTAAAGATTTCAATTGGTTGTCACATTCTCATTAGGTTAAAAATTTCGGAGCTAGAGGCTTAAGCTTCAGAGTTTGTTTTAATAAGAGAAATTATTTAAAGACTCCATGATCGGCCAATAATGTCAAGTTGAATAAGTTACAGAATTTTCTCTGCGTAGTTGATATTTAAAGGTTAGAAAATAATAACACTGGTCTAAATAATGGTTCTATTTCCTATTCACATGTTCTGACTCTTTAAGAAGTCTTCATCTTAAAATTTATTCGGTGAATAGTTGGCACAATTAAATTTAAAAAACCTTACACTGAAAGTTTGTGCATTGCAACAGTGCGTGGTATGACAACTCCCATTTTGTTTCTCCCATCATTATTAATGCTCACGTTTACAAATACTACTATACAAGCATTCATGATGAGGATAAAGTAAATAGAACATTGAACCACAAAGTACACTAACCCAAAGGATAATATGTTCTATTGCGGTCCTCAAAGAGCTTCTATTTTTTATCGATTTGCAGCCCAGAGCTTAAAACCATGGGCCCAGTGTCATTGTTTTTATTTGAACCATTTAGAAAAAATTCTAGGACTCATCAATTGATCTACTAGAAAGAGAGAAATAAAATTGAAATTACAAATTCAGAATAAGAATTTAAGAAGAAAAAAAAATACAATTTCCGACAAAGACATCTTTTCTTAAGTAACTGTGATTATGCCACAAAAGGTGGCAGAAAAACATTCTTTATAGTGTACTTTCCGAAGAAAATACACTAGTAATAGCAATTGTATAAGAAAAGGAGAAAAGAAGGGATAAGGAGCTTCATGTTAGTGAAAAAGGATTGGAAACGCAGAGATGTTCCCAAGAAAACAAACTGGCAAGATTGATGGCACAAAACAATTTTAAACGGGAGAGAAACAGAATATGTTGAATAAAAGAAAAGAAAGGGGAAAACAGGCAAGCCGGCAGCTATAATAAATGTTCAGTTCAAAAGATACAATTGTGAATTAGTGTACAAGCGATATAAGCTCTTTATATACAAACTGATAACTTACAAAATTACAAAGATAAAAATTCCATGTGAATAAAAAGTCATGATTCATTTGAACAACTACTTGCATAAGTGACAAAGCATGGACAAAAACTAGAGGTAACAGCCGTTTATAGACATACCAAAAAACGGAGCTGGAGGGTCATGAGATCTGCGGCACAGATTCATAAAAATGGCCTAAAATGGTTCTGGAACCGAGAATGTTTCATTGCATCATTTTGTATTGGTATCCATAACTGTTTAAATGTAAACACTTCCGCTGAGTAAACTATCTATTTCTTCTTTGAAAATAATATAATGACTTGGCCAAAACTGCGGTATTTTTACACAGCTGGTGGAACGTTTCTAATTAATTTAAAAATTAAAATCGCTATTAAAGATGTAACTGATACATCATAACTGAAAAGACCGGCCTCCAAGTGCCTGTAGTGTAAGAAGAGATGCAAACTAGGAAAACTTCTGATTTGACTACAGATGGGATGAAAAAACCAATCGTAACAATTCGGCGAGACCAATTTTGTTGAACCCCAGTGGCGAAACCTCTGATTTTTACCTATGACAATATAAATCTCAAATTTCCTGATCCTCATGAGTCACAGGTCACTGAACAGCAATCCTCGCAATAAAGAAGTTCCCTACTCAGGCGGAAGCTTCTCCATTGCTGAGACCAAAGATAGTAGTGATAGTGCATTGCAATTTGCATTAGTGAGTGACTGAAAATAATTCATGCGGTTTTTACAGCCTACCTTACAGTATTCTCTCACTACATGAAAAGTCTGCATCTCCCTAAGACTCTTCATCTTTTAATTTAAATTCTTGGTTTTGTGATGTTGCATTACTACTAATGGGGCTAGAAACAGTGTTGTAAGGAGTAATGCATCTTTTCATGATGTCTTGAAGAAATAAAAATAAGTAATTTGTTCCTTACTTTTATTTTCTTTGACCTGTTTGTCCCGAATGGAAAATTTCACATATGTTCATGGAAAAGTTTGGGACTGCATTGTACTTAACCTCATAATGTGCCGGTTTTGTTCCTTTCATTCTTATGCATTTCAATACTTTTACTTTTTCCTTGAAAATTTGTGACACTTCCTCAAGATCTGTTTCTGAAATATTAGAAACTGAGGACTGAAAAAAATTTAATTGAAATGCTCTGTAAAAAAATAAGAGGTTGGTGATAAGATTTTATTTCCGAGCCAAGAAACAATTTCGGCTCAACGGATGACACTTAGAGAGCTGAATACAGGTACTTTTCCACTAATTTTGGAAAAATTATGCATGAATCCTTCTAATTGTCGATCTAATGTGACATGTTCCAGAAGTGATAAGACTGAGCAAGTTTTAAAAATACAGTGGAGAAGGGGAGTCAATTCTTTGATACGTGTTCACAAATAAAGAGTCCACACTACATGGACATGACAAAGAACGTTTTTGAAAAATTGAGATACTGATTATTTCCAGTGAAGCAAATCTCAAGAGTATTGCAGGTATACATCTTTTTCATCTCACGACATCATTATAACATTTTTTCTGGCCATGAGACTCGAGGTAATTCTTTAATATTTGGAACCCGCTTTTCTCCAAATCACAAAAATGAAACTTAGCATGTCCAAGCATGAGACTCTTCCAGTAAAAAAAGGACAAAAATCATGCACTACACATTACCCAATAATTGGTTACTTGTGCATGAAAAATTGTTGATTGCCAGGTCCGCCTTGGTTGCGATTGGTATTAGTTGCGTATAACTGTTGTTGGAAATTGTGGAACTGTTGGGCGTAATTAGGATCAGCTGTTGTCGGGCCGATGAATGAGGAGCTCTTGAAATTGTTAGATTGTCCCATGGATGGAGGAAGAGGCTGACTAGCATCGGGCGCCATGCCCATTTTCATGCCTGGCATCATCATCGGACCAGGCCCAGGACCTGGCCCCGAATTAGGACCTCCAGGACCACCAGGACCACCAAGTCCTCCTGGTCCTGGATACATTTGGTCATTCGGGAATCCCATTCGTATCATATTACCTCTGATGAGAGGACCAGGGCCGGGTCCAGGTCCCGGGCCAGGACCAGGACCTGGACCAGCTCCGGGACCCAAACCGCCACTATTCCCACGCATCATCATATTACCAGGACCTGGTGGTCCACAGTTCATCATTTCGTTCATATGTACAATGTTTACATTATTTTGGAAATTATTCGGGAAATATTGTAGATTATGAGTAGGTACTTTAGCTTCTAAATTGGACAGAGGGTTTGAATACCTTGGCAAAAATTCTAAGTTTGGCGGGCCTCTTGGAGGTCCTTGAGTACCTTGAGGTCTCGTAGGCAAATACTGAATCGTATTTGGTGCGTTTGGCTTCACTTGAATATTTGCTCCATTAAAGTTGTTCGGCCCAGGAACTCGGTTCATCATTCTCGGTCCACCTTGTACCATCCCAGGTTTCGGGGACACCGGACTGTTGGGATTAGGAGATTGAACCATTCTCATGCCGTTGCCCATTCCCACTCCGCCGGGTGAGAAACCCATCCTTGGACCCTCAGACATCATTGGAGACGGCTGCCCCGGCCCACCCATACCCATACCTCCCATGTCTCCCATTCCGGGACCTGGGAATGGCATCATACCTGAACTATTGACTGGCGATCCGGAGACGTTGTTGGCTAGTTGCTGGTTCATTTGAGCTAGCGATGATATTGGGTCAAAGTGGGATTTCCCGCCTCCAGTCACAGGATTTAACGGCATATTATCCGTAGGAACTTTCCCAGGCTGAGGGGGGAATCGGTTGTCTAGTGGACTGTTACAGGGAAACCTAGAATCATTTTTGGGTATGCCTGGACCTTGTAACATTCTTTGTTTGTCGTTAGGACCACCGGGGCTAAGAACTGGAGGTAGTTCACCTGGTTGTCCGGGAAATCGGCCAGGGTTCATATCCATCGATGTCGCCATTCCTCCACTCATTTTTGAAGTTGCGATATCCGGTATCGACACTGATGTTGGTATGTTTGGTAGACTTCCGTCCAAATTACTCGACATCCTGAAAAATTCCATAATGGTAATCAGTACAGATGTTCTATGGATTATGCATTAGAGAGAAAACACATCTCATGTGTATTCTATAATCTGCAGCATTGACAATTTGGTATTTAGAGGACCGTATTATTTAAATCTAAATTTTAAATAATGATGATAAGAGAGAGGCAGTAGATAAACATATTGATAATGACTTCTTATCATTATATGCTTTTTTAGCGGCAGATAAACATTTTTATTTTCATTTAAAAGAGATGGCGGCAATAGACTCAAATTAATCAGTGCTATTTACTTTCATTGTAACCTCAATTTGCTCAATGGAGCACTAACTCCATTCAGAAAATACAGTATTGATCCTGTGTGGTTAAGCTAACCCTTACATTACTCATATGGGCAGCAGTTTCCACTTCTGAAATTCATTAGGACTTTTGAAGGCACTTGAATAATTGCTATCACCCGAATGGTGAGTAATGACAAAAAAATTATATGGACTAGTTCAAGGCTGATAATACATGTTGGATAGAGACTGAAGTGACCTAAAGAGAAAACTCGAGAGAGGTCCTCGCATTTCCCTCAAACGCGGAGAAGGAATCAACTGACAGAGGAATAATACTTACGTTGGAGACATGTTCGGATCTTTCAGACTAATATTTGGTTGTTTTTGTATTGTAAGTTCTTGTCCTTCAAAGGTATTTAAGTACTGAATATGCTGAGGAGAAGGCACTGGCATTAAATTAGGTTCCTTTGCACCTGCATTCTGCGTTGAGCAAATACTCTGAGATTTTTGTTGAGGAAGAGATCGACAAAACATACTGTCCACTAAAATAACAAATAAATAAAAATACAATTGAAATTATTAAAAACTAAACTGATGTCTAATATACTGATAAATTCAGCGCAAATGAGCATGTTTAGTTATGTTTAATTCTTGCATTTCTGAAAACTAGAGGGTGCACATGGTTCACAGGAATTTTCCTCCATTTTTTTGAACAGTATTAACTTGAGCACCCATTTAAACGCGCATCAGCAGGTCACTTAAAACTATCTGCAGCAAGCGCCTGTCGGAAAATGGCCCACTTGTTGAGTTGCCTCTGCCACGTCCTATACCCTGCACACGGACTATTGGACATTGCGTGCGGACTACAGGACATGGCAGAGGTAACTCAACGAGTGTGGCCATTCTCTGACGGACGCTTGCCACGGACAGTTTTAAGTGACCTACTGATGCGCGTATAAATGGGTGCTCAAAATACACAACTCTGAGCTTGTTTTTCTTGGGATAATACTGTTGAAAAAACAGAGGAAAATCACGGTGAACTCCATGCACTCTCCGGTTTTCAGACATGCAGAAATTAAACAAAACTAAACAAGCTCATTGACAATAAAATGGTTGATATGTACTTGACTTATAATATTCTCAAGGAATCGCCAAAAGCAAGTGTCTCAGTTATCGCATGATTAATTTCCAGTCATTATTCACGAAAAAAAAAACAATTGATAGTTCAAGTTTAACTATTACATCATTGACAACAACTTTACAACATTGATCAAAATTACGCCTTATACATTAGCGAATTGTAGTTTACCACCCTTGACGCACAGAAACTTGGAGGAGTGATGCATGAAAAAATTGAATAATTGATGGTGAGAGAGTTGTACATACCTGGTGATTGCTGACTCGTGGGTGATGTTGATTCCGAGGCTTTGGGTTCTCGTTGCTTGTTGTTAGGTGAGAAATGAGACACAGGGGTGGGAGGATTACTTGAGTTGAGAGAGCGGTTAGGCCCAGGTGAGTCTACATTGTTATGGGCACTGGTTGGACTTGGTCCTTGAGCGGATAATCTTGAGCTACAACCTGCTGGAGAATTCATACCCGAACAAGTTCTAGGGGACGGTAAAGATAAATTCGACGTGTTATTATTAGGAGAACTAGGATTTGGACTTGCCACATTTATCGGAACACTAGCTGACCTCGTCGTTTGATGATAAGGAGGAGGAGGAGCTTGCGCCCTGACGCTGCCACCACTCCGCATCATGCCTCCTGGGATATTAGGGTCCATTGGACCGGGAATAGGCCCATGGCCAACAAGTGGTTGGGAGCCAGGCCCCCCTGGTCCTCCTCCTTTCTTTTTTCTGTCATCAAAGAATTGATGTTGTAACTTAGGCCAATCCATCGGAGGGCCTCCTCCACCAGGACCCATCATGTTACCACCAGGACCCATAGCTGGTCCAGGTCCAGGCATTGGACCTGGACCTGGGCCATGCCCCATGCCACCACCTGGTCCAGGCATGGGACCAGGTCCTCCTGGCCCGCCTGGTCCCCCAGGAACACCCATCGGCATTCCACCTGAAAAAAAAGAACAAAAAATCAGCATGGATCTACAAAAAAATTTGTTGCACACATTTCCCTCTGTTTTGTGTTTTCTGCGTTCCTGCTAACCCTGATGAGGGAAAAAATTTCACGTGATTGAAGACAATGCCATCAGTCATACAAGACGGCAAGTTTTGAGTGAGCTCTCACTTTACAGTAAGAGCGCCTATGGGTAAACTGTTGATTCACCTTAAAATAATTGGTATCGAAGCAATTGGGAGACAGTGAAACCACCAAAATGAAATTACCAACTAGGATTCAAACATGGTTTTCGGCCATCAAATTCCCAGAAAGTATATCCATTTCCCCTTGAGATACTGATGCCAAAGATAGTTGAATCACTTGTTTTGAGAAGTGCCCACCTCAAAGGAAGTGATTATCTAGGAAACTAAAAAAAACTGGATCCCTCCGAAAATTTTCGGTGAATGGACAATATTTTTGGCTCATGTTATTCAAATCTCAAAAAGAGCCCCTTGGCTGTAAAATATAGAACTAATCGGCTGATTGATGGTGTAATATGAACATTCTTGACTGTATGAGTTGGACATTTTTTGATACAAACAATATTTGCACTGATTTACCGATATAAAATGAAAGAAAAAAACCATTGGAAAAGAAAACTTAAAAGATGCGCAAGACTCAAAGAACTATTTTTCTGTAATGTGACGGAATTTTCATTTTTACTAAGTTGGGCAAATTTCCAAGCAAGACATTCAGTTACAATGGATATTGAGATGAATCAGATAATTGATGTCTGTTCCTAAATCAAGTTTTTTTGTAGTATTAATTGAGTTCATAAATTAGTTAAAGTCTGTCACTTACCTTTGAGCATCATGTCTCCAGAGTCGCATGGAAGATTCATTAGATCATCGGGCCCTGGTCCAGGATATTGTGGACCTCCCATTGGTCCACCAGGTCCTTGCATCATGCCTTCGAGGCACGGCCCTCCTGGACCCTGCTGGTTTTCTGGGAAAAAAATTTCCTGCATCTTTTTTAATTTTGCCATCTGTTCTACCCTGTGTTGTCTTTGCTCAGGAGTGAGCTTTTCATCAGGAACTTTTACACCTTTAAAATAGGAAGAAAAGAAAATGAATATTATAGTTATTCAGTTATTACATTTTAAATGAGTTGCAAATGATAACAACTCTGAAGTCTTTGTGGGACTAGCTTATTTTGGAAGAGACAATTTCTGACAATTGTTATAGATTTTTACAAGAGGGCTTTATGAAAACGAAAATAAACAGATCGTTTGAAATTATGCAATTTCAGTCTTTCGTATTGGACCCTTTTGACCCTGATCAGGAGATATCTCATGATGAAGTAGACAAGATCACAGTTGAAATCTTGCTGTGGCTCAGTCGCTAAGGCATGCATTAAGTCCTACTGGGGTTCCTATCTGTTGGTGAGGATATGAACTACAACTTCTGACTGTTACCAGAAAAGTTTCATGAAAACATGAATCCACATAATCTTTAAATTTTTTAACAACTGATAATTAAAAACTTATCTAGGGCTTATTAATGCTTTGTGGTAGATGTAAGATTAAACCAAAAATTGAAATAAATCATACGCCAATAAGTCACTACTCAATACTTGAACGAGTAAACAAAGTATGTTCCTAAGCTATTGTTGGCCAGAAATAGTGGTTACAATTTTCATGTTAGGCTTTTCCAAAGCTTCAGATTTCTGACTGAAAGTCTTGCACTTTCTGAAACTATATAATTTTTTAAAGTATCAAGGGAAATTATTTGTACCAGATGCAGCACTGAGAGGCCATTCAGAAAATGCAAGAAATTGGAAATTAAAAGTAATTCTTAGTTACAAAAGGTTACAGCAATGGTCGAAATTCCGGAAGTGAGAGATAGAACTGTGAAAGTTTATAATAGACAAACCTGCTAAAGAGTGTTGAGGGCCATAACTTAATGGGTCCTCAAAATCAGAAATGGAAGGCATCATGTTGGACTGTTGCATCATTGGATTAGAACCAAGATTCATACCAGGCATCATTCGCATGGAATTATCTACATTAGGAGGCATAGGACCTTTCATATGAGGAGGACCACCTGGACCCATGTTATTCATGCAGGGCCCCATGTTGTTCATCATCATGTTTCCTGGTGGATTGTCACCTCCGGGATTAGGGCCCTAAGTACATAAAAAAAATGTTATATCATACATCAAATTACACTTTGTAAAAAGTTGTACAGTTTTATAATGAACCAGGGGGTGCGCCTGCACCCCTCAGCCGCTAGTCCAACCCCTTCAGGCGCTACACGCCTCTTATAAATGTATATGTTTCCTTCAATTCAATAATCCTTGAGGGGATAATCTCACACTTACAGAAGTCCCGTTCCTAATCAAGCCAGCTCAAGGTAACCGTTGTTTGAGACCATCAAACTTGGGTCACCTGGCCGGGAATCGAACCCAAGATCCCCGATCATAGAACAAAAGCTACAACCACTACAACACAGTAGGCTGACAAATATATACTATTTAAGAAAAATAAATTTATAAATAAAACATTTCTGACGAAACTTCAGTGATACTACATTGTTCAAAGACTTCCTAGGCTGAAAATGAATTCAAGTAATCAACGAGACAAATTCAGCAACCGGTGAAAGTAAGGAATTTTTATGAAATTTTTCCTGTCACAGGTTCTATTTGCCATGGCAAACCATTTACAAAGAATGTCATGTGCTCTGCATAAAACGAATGTCTAATCATAACTCTAAGATAAAAAATTCCCTGCACAAATTATGGAAATGGGAAAAATTTATTACAAAACATAATTTGCGAAATTACCTGATTCCACATGGGCATATTTCCAGGCCCTTGATTATCAGGCATCATATTTTTGAAGCCACCTCGACCCATGCCTCCTACTCTCATCCCACCTTTCTGTTTCATTTGAGCCAAATTGTTCAACCATAATGCCGAATTTTGTCGGTTGAATTGATTCAACTTCAAAGGATGTTTCTGAAAATTTCACGTAAAATAAATGGTATCAGCACCTCACAAAATCTTACAATTCATTAAACTACAGCTTGATAGAATAGCTCTGCAGTATGAGTTCATAAAAAAATTTGCCAGCAAGTTATCAAGAAATTTATGTATTCTGTTTTTTACAAGTTGAGGAGACTGAAATGCATGGACACAGAAAAAATTTTGTTCCATTTGCAGGGGGAAAAAAAGCTTCCTTAACCGGGGTATTTTCAAAAATGCAAGACGCCCTGTTTGAATATCGAAATTTTTATCATCACATTGCAACATTGCAAAATAAACTAAAGCCTCTGTTATGACAGAAGCTGAAAATATTAAAAAAATTAAGGAGACTAAAAAAATGCTGCACAGATCTAAAAACTTGCTAAAATAAGTTGGAAAACTTCAGAAAAGCTAATACTGAGGGAATTCTGAAGTTTCCCGAAATTAGGAGGGAATTTTTCAGAGGAATCTAGGGAGCTTTCCAAAAATTGGAACTTTCTGAACATTGATAGTTTTTGCAATCTAATTCACTTATAACTTGATTTTGAACACTTTCAAAACATCGAGTGTGTTCTGCATGAAATTTATAAGAGAAAATTCATTTGTGGTGCTTTACTCTGATGTGCTCTTTCTAGTAGCCCATTATCTAATAGCTGCTAGTTTGACTTCCCTTCACACATATTTTTACACATAAATGAGTTAGGGTCCAACAGCTGTGTTTCAAGGTATTTTTCTGAACATTTTCGATTTTCTTTCTCTATTCATTATAATGAAATGCTTCCATTTCGCGATCTCTGAAAATTCCTGTACACCTTTCATCTTGCTATTAACACATTAATGAGGACCACTGTATCATTGGCATTCATACACACCCAAAGACTCTGCAGTAAAAATGTAATATGCACTAATGATCGATTACTGTAGAATGTACGAAATAATATTCTCTGATTTCCCTGACACATTATAATGAAATTACCTGACACTTGAAAATACGCAGGATGGTTAAAAATATGCACTCTAAATTGTGCTCATACAAAATTTGCTGTATGGAACATAAACTCGCATTCTAGGAGGCAAATGAAGACAATTTAACAATTTTTCCTTGACACTTTGTCTGTTTCCCCGAGATTCTCCGTTTTTCCTGACTGTGGGAACCCTGCAAAAATTCTAGATTACAGAGTAAAAGTTGAATTATTAATAATCACAAGATGACATACCTCCAGGTATTTTTTGGTTTTTGGTTGTGAGCAATGGAATGCTATGACTGAGGGATAGTCTCCTTTCAGCACAGCTTCAGCTGCTTTATTTGCTAGGGCAGTGGAAAAAACGAAGAGCTGACTCTGCTGTTGCATATATTGTGCCTCTATGGTGCCCGGCTGTTTATTGATGACATTACTTGGCAACGGCTGAACGCCATCAATGACTGAGTCTGCTGGGCCTGGCAAAGTCATTCCCATAGGTAAAATATTATCACACGGTTCTGAAAACATTACATTGACAGAGTATTATTGACAATATATTGCACTTCTCCACCACGAAGGTGACCTGAGTCCAGAGAGTATGGAAGGTTAAAGGCCCGACTCAATGCTAAGAATTTGAAACAGAAGCGCTCCTTGGCAACGTACGCAACTACTAATTTCCATGGTTTTTCAGTGACTGGCGGCGGGTATGTTGCTGCCTGACCACCTTCACGTAGGCAATTTTTCATAAATGGTCCTTCCGCAACTCTCGCTTGGCCAATCAGTGCAGTAGTATGGGAATCCCGCTCGCGCCAACGTGCGCAACTTTTTACTCACAGCTCAACTTCTGTTTCAATTCTTCCCTATCCAGTCGGGCCTCTAACCTTCCATACTCTCTGCCTTAGTGTTCCAAAGCAACTTTCTCGAAAGAACAATGTTCCTCACGTTAGGTTGAAAAATGGAAATTTGTCACCATAGGAGCACGCTCTCTAGTGTCTTGAAGGGAAATCTGGGAGCTTGTTCTGCCAATTGGGGGCTTAAGATGACATTTTTCACTTAAAATTTTCAACCTTGAAAATGGCAAAATAGAATGTTGAGTAGCTTTTTCTAGAAATTACATTTGAGTCAATCTGTGCCCACTCGGCCAGCCATATCACCCGCCGTCTCAGATCTTTATGATTTTTCTTCTTAGGTGAACTACTCATCAAAATATGACTCATACAAGTGAAGTTTGGTCAACGTTTATTTTAAAATGAGTAGTTTATTTTCAAAGAAAATTAAGATCTGAGACGTGAGTGACACAGCCAGCTGAATGGGCATGGATTGACAATTTCAAGCATTTCGTGCCAACATATTCTTAAAACATTCCTTCCAGCAGTAATACTGATAACCAATTTTAGTATTTCGGTGCTAAGCTCCTATTTCTAAATATTTAATTTTAAGTATTTAATTAATAAAGCAATGGCCACACTGATCATGAGGAGTCGATCGAGTGCTCCAGCAAATGCCAAAGCACATCCTACGATTTGAATTGAGCATGGACAAGATTCTAAGAATTTATCCCCAACCCCACTCCTCTAAAAATTCTTGGGAAGCCTTTTCAAAAAATTTAAAGTTTTGACAGAAGGGAAAAATTAAATCTTGAATAATATTTTTTTATTTTTACCGAGCTCACATCAAAAATACATAAGATTCAAAGGCATTCTTGTAAAAACGAGTTACATCATGAAAAACATCACCAAAGTTGAATTTATTACATTATTTGAACTTTTTGTAGTTGTAAACGGTATTCAAATACTTCACTGCATTTAAAACACGGATTGAGAGAAGGTAAGATGGTACTACCACTGCCAAAGTAACTTTTAGTTCCCTGAATTATCATTTTTTTGGCAATTACACTTTGGATCGATTTGCAGTTGTAGTGGAGGAACTTTTAACTACTTTAAAAATGAATTGTATTCACAGTCTTACTATACTTGGAATATTATGATGGTTTACCTGAATTAAAATCTGTTGGAACTGGGCCAACATCTTCTAATTTTGGCTGTTTGCAAGGAGGCAGAGGATTATCTAAGATTGCAAGCTCTTCATTTTTAGCTGAAAAAGTACAAATACATATATAAAGGTAAAAATATTATTCCACTATAAATGCATGCAAGCATGAGACCTTCTAGATTCTAATTTACAATGAACTCACAAGAGGCGGTCAATTTTTTTCAAATGGTGACAGAGTTTCATTGCATCATCAATTTTTGCCAGACTTTTCAATATTATGCTTTCAGGTTGTTTTTACATTTCAATATTTGATAATTCACAGAGACTGCATTGTTCAAAGCATTTGGAATGATCCTCTGGACCTGCTGATCTTAATACGGTTCTCAAGGAAAAAGTTTTGATCATCTAACATTTGTCAGCTCTACCACTGATTCCCTTCCACATTCTCAGCTCTTCCATGACAGAATATATTTGCCATTCCCTACTCTAGAAGATACAATTTTTAGCCTATGTTTTAACAACTTACAAACCTAAAAAAAAAAATTCTTGATGGAAATCGTTGAAGTATGAACAAAATTCTGAGAGAAAAGTCTACAATTTTGGAAAATCTTTTAAGTTTAGTAATTCTACACAGATCTCCTTGAATCCCTCTTTAAAATGTATTTGTTTCAAAGACAAACAAAAGAATGTTGGCATGATCTATAATTGGGAGGGTTTTGACAACAAATATATACTTGAAAGACTTCTTTGGGCCAGACTTTTTGGCAGCACAAAATCATAGGTAAGCATGCAGCAACAGGGGAAAGATATGCAAAAAGTCACTGCAATCAACATTTCAAAACTTTGGTGTATTCCAACAGCAATGTAAACCAGTCATGCTGATTTCCAGAGTTACTCAAGGGTTTTTCAATGTCTGTTTTCATTGGATATTTAGCCCCTTTGAGAAACAAATAGTGTGAAAAGGTGGATTTGACACCAAATTCTCGACTTATGGTAAGGAGAGGGTCTATACTGCTAAAACAAGGTACCATAAATCTTTTACAATCTAGTGGTAGTTAAAGGGGGATAAAAAGATCACTCACGTTCTGGTAGACAAATATCAGACTGCTGGGGGTTATTTGGCGAGTCAGTATTGCTTTTTTCGGATGGCTCATCTGCTTCCGTCTTGATTTCAGAATCTCTTTCTGAAGGCTCTGTCTTGATTGCATCATTGCTACTGCCTGAGCTGTTGCCACCAACATTTTTCTTTTCATTACTTTCTCTTTGTTTCTCCTTTATCATGGCCGCACTAAAATTACACCGACTACTAATAAAAATAAAAAAACTTGGCATTAATTCAGAGAAAAAGAAGAAAACAATGAATCATTGGAAAGCTGATCATTGAAATAACAGGAAAAATGACACAGATATTTGAATATGCAATTTAGTTTGCATCATGTGATATTCAGTATTAATTCATTATTCGTCAGTCAGATTATCTCCATGAGAGGTTCCTTCTACTTTCTTCAAACTAAGAGACCAAAATTGGCAAAAAAGACTGCAAAGAGGCTTGCAAATAAGTATGCGACAAGGGACATGGGGAGAGAGGAGTCAAAAGAACAGGTTTACCAACACTTTGTGCAGTTCAGCCCATTTGAACCTCGTTCTTATCCACAAAAATGTCTGAAATAGACTGGTGAATAAAATTGTACCAGTAGAGAGGATTGTGACATAATCTAAAATAACTAAAGGTGAATACTTAATGAGGCATCAACTTACAATGGTAGTATGAAACTCCCAAGTTATCATCGGGAACCAATGATAAAACATTACTTGAATAGTGCACAAGAGCATTCTTCTTCAGTCCGTCTTAGTTCATTGTGAATCCACTTTCAGAGATCTAACAAAATACAAAAATGCAAATAAACTCAGATATCCTTCATTTTCATCCTAATTCTTATTTTCGTTCTATATTTTCAAAACAAAAAGATGCAAACAGGATGCAGCTACTTGAGCCACTAAGAAATCATTGAACAACTTATATCCTAAATTTTTTTCTGCCTTGTGAATGATAGGTAAGTTCACATCCAATGGCCAAAAACAAAACAAAGAAGCTAAGAACTAATAAATCTGAAATACAATCCAGATTTTTCACATTATTTGGCTATTTTTCTATTCTTTAAGATGAGGAGGTAAAGGTTCATTTATTTGTAGAATGTTCAATTTGAGAGTACAACTTGCAGAGTAAGATCCAACAAAAAACACTACGTAAGTAACGCTGATACTGATGGTATACAATACAGGCAAATATTTATCTCATACTTACCAAATAAATTTCTGAGGTCCATCTAGTTGAAAGGCAGGGTTCGGGTGTGACATGTAAATGATTCGACTGTTCACCGAATAGTGGATGAAATTGATTAAAATCTGCGGGACTTCCTAATCCCTCCGATAAAACCCATGCAGTCCTTTATCACTTGAATTCATGTCACCTGATCTTGATTAAGACCTTGTTTGATTTCAAGGGCAAAAAGAAAAATGAATTTGTTTAGTTAGAGAGAGGCGGTAAGATAGAATGATAAATAAACACCCAAAAATTCGAAGTCAAAGTAATTTCTTGGCAAAACAGAGGTATGTACTGAGAGACCTGGGGTATGCATCAGGGTGCAACTGAGTGTAGTCAAGGAAAACAAAACACAATTAATACTTGAATAAAAGCACACCCAGCCGGAAAACTGGCTTAAAAATTGACGTCAGTGAAAAATAGGTCGGAAAAATGCGGGGATTTTCAGAGAAACACCTTGGGTCAACTCATTTTATCTGGACTATTAAAATTAGGCCACTAGTAAATTGTTGTTTATCCACTGCTGAACGAGGAATGTATCACTACAAATGCACGTTCTGAAAAGCATCAACACACAGAAAAAATGGGTATAAATGGGACAGTAAACTCCCGAATTCTTAAAATTTACCTTGCAGCAAGATTTTTAAGGGAAGAATATTCACTAACGGCAAGTTTTCGCCGAAAAACAATTGGAATTGTTCGTGATCACTGGAAGAAATTCCTGTATCAAAATTGCAGAATTGACGTTCCGACGAGAAGCCAAAACACGAATCACAGCAAACACCGGAGGTACGTTTTGCTCAAAGATTACTCAGTTTGACTGCATGTTGAGGTTCCAAACATACAGTTCCGAAAGTTATTTTAGTGAAAAATATTCAGGTTTAAGAATTTAAGAATTACCTCAAGCCATGAAATTATGATTCTCTCAATGTCAGGTGCACTTTCATTCTTTAAGATGGAAAATTCTTAAAATTACTGGAAGTTATACTCAAAGATTACAGAAAACATTGACATCATTTGGATCCAAAATCAATCCACTCTATTTCACCCTTTTTTCGGACGAGATGTTCTTGTTTTACTCTGTAGGAATCTGCTGATATCTCCAAAATCTTCCTCAAATTTGGGTGGGAAATTAAATGAGTACAAAAGAAGATGGATATGTAATCAAAGGCTAAAAGGCCCAAGGCCAAGGCCAAGGCTCAATTTTTGTATTCCCTCTTACCTCTCTTGCCCCATTCTGCCCCTCCCTCTAGCCTCCTCCTATCCATCTTTGTTGTTGGTTTTTTTTTTTTGGCCATATCAATCATATCATGTAAACTAACCTCAAACTTATGCTCCGATTCCCGAACGTGTAGTTTCCTTTTATTGCGGCTTTTGTTCAGACCGAAATTTCTGGTGTTATTTGCACTGTTCATTTAAGCTGCTACAATTATGGCAACTGAGAGATACAGCTTTTCTCTCACAACTTTTAGGTATGTGTTTGCAACATTTGTTTCCATCATATCCAACTTCAGCAGTGACTAGACATTTTTCGATTGCCCCAACCCAAATTCAGCTTTCCTTCATTCTTATAAATATTACTCTGAAATACCATGCATTCACAAGAGTTAAATACTTTCACCATGAAGAAAATAATTAACAGGAACCAAGGTAAGCAGCGCTATGAACATATATGCAGAACACCTATGGCCGAACCAGACAAACGCAGGCCAACACGCAACGTCGCAGATTCCCCTGATTTCATCCCTTTTTTCAACCAGAAATGCGCAAGTGTAATCTTTTGAAATTATTCCTATTTAAGTTCTTCTGTACCAAGGTTCATTTTCCTCTCAGAAGGCCACATTTTAGTTTCCTTGCAATTTTCAAGTCCTAATGCCACTTTACTTACTCTTTGATTTCAGTCCATCCGGAAAACTTGTGCAGATTGAATATGCGTTGGCGGCTGTTGCAGCTGGAGCTCCATCTGTTGGTTTGAAAGGTGAGGTTCCTCCCAGATAACTGCCTTTTTGGTATTTTAAATAACAGTTGCATTTCAATCAGATGTGCTAAATATTATCTTCGCCCCCTTTTGTTCGTTTGTCACATCCATGTGCCCAACGATTGTACGATTACGGACACTAATGTGTTATTGGTATCCAAACAATACTTTACATAAGTAATTGAAATATTCCTCATTTAGGTGAGCTTAGTCCTTGTGTGAGCCAACTAAAGAAGCAAACCAAATGCGGGTTAAATACAAGCGTAAAAGATCACTCCTGTAGCTCTCCAACGTTCCCTTATTGACCTCATTGAGCAATTTTTAGGTGAAAAGTTCATTGCTAGCATTCATAGCATTATTAATCATGTGAATTACAGCCTGAAATTTGAGGAAATGGTGTCAACACCTTCTCATATTTTTCCTTTCATATTTTCGATTTTTCATTACATTTCAGTATTCTCATTAGGGATGGCTGGATTTTGTTCATTTCTGTCTTTTTCACGTCTATCTCCCAGCCATCACCTAAAATCACCCATTACTTTAATTACTGAACTTGCAGCTGATAGCTCCACTGATTATAGCCAGCCAATGGCGTGTAGACTTGTTGTCTCACCACCTGTGACGTCAGCAAGTCTATAAAAGCTTGCGCTGCCCCAAAATCTAGGTCTTACTCCATCCCCGACCCGTACTAGTACGTAGTGCCCATTTTCGCCCTTTTGGCACATTTTCAAGTGACTATTTCAATCTTGGAATTTTGTAACTTTTTTCTCTCTTTCGGTCTCAATACAACTCTAAATTTTCCATCTCAAAATTTCGTCATTTAATTCCATCCCAAGTAGTTTGTTGTTCCTACTCAAAGAGCAACTGGTGCCGAACGGTATTCCAACTCTCATTTATGACAAATGGTTTAAGGATATCAGAAAGCATTCAGGTTTGAAAAAGGGGAATGTGATATTTAAACTGCCCATTGATTTTTTCACTATAATTGATCGATTTGAATTTCCACTTTAAGGCCTTTTTGTCAAGTTCATATTAATTATTAGACAAGGGAAAACCAAGATCAAAGTACTCTCTTAAAAGAGATCTCTTAGTCAATGTATTCGATTAAGGAATAAAGACTCGTTCTAAAGCTGATCATTATTTATCAATTTAAATATATTTTTCAGCTGTCAATGGAGTTGTAATTGCAACTGAGAATAAGCAAAAAACAATTCTGTACGAAGAGCACATGATTCACAAGATAGAACCCATCACAGAGCACATAGGCATGGTATACAGTGGTATGTATCATCAAGTATTCTTTAAAATGTCTTGAGCATAGCTTAATACTATCTTTTATTTTGAGGGAAGCGCACAAAAGGAGATCAGTGATTTTCATCTCGAGACTCATTTTTGCTTTTGGCGTCAGTGTACTAGAAAAACAAAATGTAGTGACCACTCTGCTATCATTGGATATCGCTTTCAATGGAAGGAATTTTACATTTGGAGACCTCTAAGTAAATGTTCATATTTTTATTACCAAAAGTAGAGTGAATGACTTTTCAATTCAATCTTTGTGTCAGAGATTCAGAAAGATACATCTCGGAGATCAAGCCATTTACTTTCTTTCTCTCTTTCCTTTTTTACAACCTTGATCTCTGTTTGCTACTACTACTAATAAAACTTCATGCAATCGTAATCATACATTTTAATTGATAGAAATGAGTCACAGAAAGTAAAAAATATGAAATGCAGAAAGAAAAAGGTAGATGCATCTGATAGCATACTAGCTAGAGTGGTTCTGTGATCCCTTTATTTTTTTTTTACATTTTACTTTGGTTTCAATTATAAGAAGCAAAGCTGGATGATCAAACAATACCTATCATGTAGTATTGAAACTTGGCAGGTCACATACTGAGTTTTGATGACCCATTCCACATGTAGTGGGAATTTCGTAACTATCAGATCAAACTTAAAGATGAGGTGTACCTCATGGAAAATCGCTCTAAAACTACAATGAGCACATGGGAAAGTTTAAAATTCACTCTGTGCTTTGCAGCAGTGGCCAAAGTTATTGAATTTTTGAGTTTCTTGGATGCTTTGAAAAGTATTTTTATGAAATAATTTAAGAAGGCTAAGTCAACATGGGTTCGAGATTACTTATCATGAACCGGTCATCATGCACCTCTGGAAGTATCTCCTTCACAAGAGAAATTTTTTGGCATCAAAAACAAGTAATCCTATCAAAATCTCAAATTATAGAATGATCCTCAGTCTCTCTCCAATTAGTTCACAATACATGATTGTAAAGAGAAATTCGTCTTTTAATATGTATTTTTCCTCTCCCTAGGAATGGGACCTGACTACAGGCTACTTGTTAAACGAGCGCGGAAAATGGCACAACAGTATTATCTTGTTTATCAGCAAGAAATTCCCACTGCTCAGTTAGTTCAAAAAGTTGCAATGCTAATGCAAGAATATACACAATCAGGGTAAGACAATTATTTTTATCCAAAGCTTCCATTGTTACATCAATTCAAAGCCGTCAGAACAAAAGAGCTATATTTTTCACAGGCAGATAAATACCACAGAAGAGGGATGAGCTGATGGTTGTCTATTGGTGCCTGGTCCTGGTTTTTCTAGGCCAGTTTAGCCAGTCCAATCCTTTTGAAAAACAGTACAAAAAACAAGAATGTACAATTTTTGCTCATTAATATTTCTAAAATCTTTGAAGAAGCGATGGCAGGGTTTTTTGCAGACTGCAAAATCTGGAAGATCTGGGCATTTACCGCAACCTAAAAAAATAGGAAGTCCAGGGCAACCTGGAAAAGTCAGGGAATTCAGCGAGTGGCCTATTGGCTCAGCAATTTCAGCTGGCGCCCTTCAAGAGTGCGCAAACAACTTTCAAGTGCCTTTTTACTTAATTTGAATCTCCAGAAGTAAAGATTTATCCTCAGGGATTAAAAGTTAGTCTAATTCCTGGAGAAGAGGTAAGTGGAAGTTTTGATCAAAGGTCAGGGAAAGAGGAGGCAACAATTTTGGAGTGAGGGAAAGCAAAGAAAAAAAAGAAAAAAAAAGAGAGAGAAAAAAAAAAAAATAATCAGGTAATTCAAAAATGAAGAAATCAATGAAATCCTGTGGGGAATGAGACACTTTCCTGTTTCATAGGTTTGTTGGATTAAAAACATTTTTTGTACCTATCTTATTACTTTTATTTCCAACTGTATTGGGGGAAAAGAAAAAAAAAAGAAAAAAAACCCAAAAACAAAAGAGATCATATGAAAATGAAGGATAACTCGAACCCATTTTATGTTTATTTTGTTCACATCTGGTTTGGTTTGTTTAAGATTACAAGGATTTGAATTACAAGAAAAATATGCGGAAAAAAAAGTTCATAATTCACCTGCAGAATAAAAAGAATGCTCTACCTGATTTGCTCCAATTCTGCTGAGTTTAATTATTTTAATTTTTTTTATTTAAAGAGGTGTACGACCATTTGGTGTCTCTTTACTGATATGTGGCTGGGATAAAGGCAAACCATATCTATTCCAGTGTGATCCATCTGGCGCATACTTTGCCTGGAAAGCAACTGCTATGGGCAAAAATCATATCAACGGGAAAACATTTTTAGAAAAAAGGTAAGCCTACAAATATTTTTTCTTTCTAAGAGAAATCCATTCACCAACATAAATGCTCTGTAAATTGGGGGTTTTATTGAGGATATCAACCTGGTTTAACCACTTTTTATGCAGCAAATGTAATACTTAACCTAGAAAAGCGTACAGAGATCCTTTCTAACCATCAAAAATATACTTCCTCAGGATACTTGGGTTGCATTTAACTAAAAAAATCATGTACCAACAGATCAGGTACCTTGGCTTTAACGCTAAAAGCTTCATCATTTGATAAAAGGAAAAACGAAATTGTAACTCTGTAGCAAAATACAGTAATACCATGAATTGTGGCGGAAGCTAACCAGATACCAGAAATGCTGTATAATCAAAAATTCATTAAAACACATAATACTATTTACAAATTGCATGAAAAAAACTAGGAAAACTTTGGAAAATGTTGTGCCGGATAAGCGATACCTGGATGGATAATGGAGGTTTCACTGTACCTGCAGTTTTTTACCTGTTTTTTTTTTCTTTTTCTTTTTTCTGAACACATGGATTGTTTATGGACTTTTAAATTATGAGATAACATTGAAAATGCTCTAAGATACAAGCGTTCAAACCGTTCAATTATGTTTTTCTTGAAACTTTTAATTACACTATTTGTAGCAGTCCCAAAGAACTCCTCAATATATTGTTTTACCCTTAAGCAGTTATCACTTTTGCTATCATAACAAAATCGGTCAAAACATCTGCCTCTTAAATTTTTATTACTTACATATCGTCACCTTCCGGCCAAAGTATCTCAAGTGCCATGCGACGTTTGAAAACTTCCGCCGCCATTTTATTGTTGTTTTACAGAGAAATTATTCAACAAAGCTCTCCGAAAATTTTGCTGAATTTTCTCTGTGGTGCCAACAAAATTCGGTGAAATTTTCAGACAGATTCAACCAATAATTTCTCTGTAAAAAAATAAAATGGTAGCGGAAATTTTTAAACGTGGCATGACACTTTTGATACTTAGGCCAGAGAGTGACGATTATGCGGTACAGAAAATGCTGTGTATCAATTGCACTGTGCATCACATGCCGGGATGTACCTTGATTAATTTGATTGACTTATGTGCTGTGTAAAAACAAAAAATATTAACAACTTTGATGACTTCTATTGTCATGTAATTTTCTTTATCCCGATTCCTTTTAAATTAATTTTTTTTGTTTTTTTACCAGGTATAGCAATGATTTAGAGTTAGATGATGCCGTCCACACAGCTATTCTCACCTTAAAAGAAGGATTTGAAGGGCAAATGACAGAAGATACAATTGAAGTAGGAATCTGCGATGCATCTGGCTTCAGGCGACTTGACCCAGCCACTGTTAAAGACCATCTAGCTAATATTCCTTAAGCATACATCATGGACCTGAATACTTTTCACTGAGATTCTTTTCTTATTCTTAGGAGCTGAGTGAGCTAAACATTAGCTGGAATGCATTTGGATTGAAATTGGATTTCAGCCCCTGAATTTCTTTGTAACGTTATATCTTAATTTCAAAGTTCTGTTTTGATATTTTTTGTACATTTGCATTTTTCATGATAACATAGAACATGTACCAAAAGCTTAATTCGTCATTTAATTGTTCAGAAATTCCCTCTATGAACAAATTTCATTAGTGAAGGAGATATTATTTACCATGAAGCCTAGCTGCCAGATTACAATGGATCATCAAGAGCGATTTACTAGTTGATCAATGAATTGATCATTTAAAAAATCTCCTACATCACAGCATACTGTAGCTGTAGTTTATCAGGTATTTCTTCACAAGATGTGTCCTCGGAAAATTTTGAAATAACCTTGAAAGTATCTCCTGAGTGAAAATTGCACATCAAAAAACAAAACGATTTGCAATTTTCACCTAGAATGTACCTTCACAATTACTTCTAAATGTTTCTTAGCCAAAGACTATACATAAATACTCAATGTATTTCAAAGTGATGTGACGTTCCAGGATTTTGAACAAAAACTTCCTAATAACCAGATATTATCAATCAATTGATCAATAATCGAATTGCTCTGCAGAGTGCTATAGAGCCACTGTCTCTAATAATAGAAGGTGCGTCAAGAAAAACAAATTAAGTTATTAATTATCAAAAGATATTTAATTCCATTAAACTTAACTGAACCAAAAGTAATAAAATTTAATTTGCCATAACATTAATTTCGAAAGAGAGCTTACAAAAAAATCAGAATGAAACTAGAGAGGGAAAAAATCAGGTGGTGCATCTTAAAGATTGTTTACCCCATGATGTAAGTGGGGACAAAATGGCGACAACATTCCAGCAAAATCCGTTTGAGGTATGAAAAACAGACCATAATGTCCCTTATTTTTGCTTACGTCAACTGTAAGATATAATTTTAAACACTTAATAAAGAATGAATTTTTTCCATAAACGACACCATTTCCAAGAAAATCATACAAACAATTTGACAAGACCTACATCATTGACAGAATCCAAGATTCTCAAAATGCAACCACCTCCTATTTTCTCTCCAAGTATGGGATGATACGAAGGCTTACAAAGAGCACATGTGCGGTATATGTATCATGAAGATGGAATCGTTTGAAATTGCTCCAAGAATTCTGTTTCCAGGGGATGTAGATCTCCCGCAATGACGAGCGAGTGCAAAGGTGGGCCCAGATCGATATTTGCCATCTCCGATAAAGGGCATGCTTGTATTTGTTGACTCTCAGAACCAACTCTAGCGACCCCGATGCAAATGACACTTTTTTCTGGAATACAAAAAACAAGAAGCTAATTGATAAATCTGCCTGAAGTGGAAGAAACCATTCAGGGTTACCACAGAATTTAGAAAAAGAAATTCCCTGACATTTCTCTGATTGCCCTGTCACATTTTGGTAAAATTTCTGGACGATAGAAAATTTGCAGGTGTCTGAAATTTGATGGATTTCGTGTTAAAGTGGAAACTACTGAGTGAACTCAACACGAGGATACCCTTGATTAATGAATTGAACAATTATTGGAAAAGATATGAAAAAATGGTCTAATCTGCTAAAATACAAGTGTGTAAATGGGAAATGCTGCCAGATGACGTCATTAGGCAGTGCATTTTCTCACTTTTAAATCTATTTGTATATATATTTCCCATAACAGAGAAAAATTATAAAAAATACTGTGGACTCAGCTCTTAATTAAAGTAAGCTCAGAAATTAAATAACGCTGCAAGGTAAGGAATAAATTTGATGGGTCAGTTATGGGTATCACAAAATCAGTGTTCCAACTTCACCTCCAAGTTTTAGGAGCCGTTTGGCCCATCAAGTTCAATTTTTAGGGGCCATTGAAGATTTTTTAGGGGCCAAATTGAATTTTTGCCTATATATCACGGCGCATTTAGTGAAAAGTTATACGCAAAATATACAGTTACAGGACTTGCAAGTTGCAGCTCACAGCCATTACTTGGGAAAGGGAAAGGCCAAAGGAATGATATTCCGATTTAAAACAAGGAGCTTTTAGTTTACTTAAAGTTTGTTCAATTAAATAATACTTTTTCTGACTTCCTATTATGAAAAGTAGTAGAACGATTCTATAGTATGTACGATAAGTAGTACGATTCTCGATCTGCTGAGCCGCTGCCGCGACGAAGTTCCGCGCGCAACTGCTTGCTATGCGCGTTCAGTCCAGGCTGACTGACAAAAATCTTGAAATCATCAAACCGTAATCTAGGATTGCGACAATTTTTTAGGGGCCACGTTTGACGCAGGGTCTTCATTTTTTAGGGGCCATGGCCGATTTTTTAGGAGCATTTGGCGACATGGCGCTCGTGGGGTTGGAACACTGCACAAAATGCATTACAACAAATCTAGTGAACAGACTAGTATAAAATAATAAAATCTATCATAATAAGTTTCTCGAATCAATATTAACGTTTGAAAATTTGAATTCATCTACCGCAGTATTACATTTTAGTTTTCCCCATCTGAAATTCATGGATTACTTGTGCACCGGATACTTCAGCAACAGCTATATCAAAGATAGAACCTTGCTGAAAGAAACCATAGAAGATAATACAGTGTATTCTATCAATCACTTAGTAGTTTGAGCGATTATATCTCCACAGAAGGGTGTTAACATGGGAACTTGGCGATTGGACGGATCTCATCAATTTTTGCTTATCCAAAAGCTGCATCCATCGAAACCCTTTTTAGTGACTTGCAAACTTGACACTTAATTTTTGCATGATTTGCTTTTTGAGTTTTTGACAGCCAGCATTGAGAAGAGATGAATAAATAATAACAATTTTTACCTAAATTTGGTTCTGCCGATGCTTCCTTCTTATCAATGATTTGTAGAATCTGCTTTGCAGCTTCAGAAGTGCTCATAAAGCGAGGCGGTAAATATTGCTTCACCTTTTTGGTAAGAGATTCTAAAGTTGGCTCTTTGACTTGAATATCTGAAAAAGTCGAACAGTGAATCTTTGAAGTCATTCAGTTTGTAATGCATTCTTTCACTAAGAATGTCATGCTCTTTTAGAAAAATGGCTGATTTGTCTTAGATGTGCTGACAGTGCCAAGCATTCTCCCAAATTCAATCCACCTTAGCCTTTATATTCATGATCGCTTCCATCTAAATACTAGGGAAAAACAAAAAACCTTTTACCCAACAATCGAATGCTTCAATGCTAAAACGCCGTATTTTGCAAAGGGTCCCCCTGTTTTGTCCCATTTTCATGGGGGCTCCCCATTTCATGCGGCTGGCACATAATCAGGCTGGTTGCAGAGTCAAAAAGTTTCTGCATACCTGATTGGTCTTAATTCAACACAACAGCAGTTTTCCAAGCCTGTGCTCAAAACCAATTTCAACTTGAAATTTTGGATGTTAAAACTGAAAAGTTCTAGTTTTGCTAATGAAAGTAATGCTTTCTAGCCAATATGGTCAGGCCCATTTTACCGGACAAGGAATCAAACCCAGAACTTCCTGATCGTACAGAAAACGCTAAAAATATAATTACATACAGAGCTGACTAGCCTCCTGCAGCTTATCATTTCTTACAAATTTGATTTGATACAAAATTCAATGGGTAAGTAACTGAGGTAAGGAAAAGGGCTCTTGCTGCGGACAAACTTGGAAGCTTCAATTCCATCGTGACATTAAATATAAGTAATCAAAACTTAATAAGCAAATAGATAGATAGAGAATGAAATATTTCGAGACTCACCTAATAAACATAGAGTGTGTAGCCCTCTGCTTTTGTTGGATAAAATCTTCTCAAAGAAACTATCAGGCTCCCAGCCTTGGGTCCAGTAAGGAATTGAAACTGTTTCTCCAAATTTGTAAAGCTGAAAAAAATGTGTCTTTATTTTTATCACTGGACATAAAATAGGAGAACGTCTTAGATAGTTTTTGTATTACCTTAGAATTTGAATGCAATAGTTAGGCAATGTCTGACTGTCGGCATGATATTACTGAGCTTGTGCTGTTTTTTTTGCTCTCATTATATAATTTTTCCAATTGAGAAGACCAAACTGCTAGAGGTAGCTCAGTCAACAGCAAACAAACCATATGAATCAAATTCATAAAATATCAAAGCCACCCACTGGTCAGAAATTTATCCATTAAAGACCAACGCGTTTTGATACGCGAAGTCGCGTCCTGAATGATGGCCAGTGTAGGCCAAAATGCGTCAGTGAGGGAAAAATTTCTGACTAACGGCTTTAATATTTTATTAATTTGACCTAGTTCTAGTCAGGTTACTTTTCAATATTGATTAAATTATCGTACAATATGAAGTTCTCTTACATAGGCTGTCTAAAGAGTACCAGGTTTGGTCCTGTAACTTCAGAACTGAAAAATCTACTGACCTAATCTGGATCTCAATCAAAAGATCAAATAAATATCTGTTGATTTCAACGAAGACCAATAGATTTGAAAAAAATGAACGAACTAAAGGCAATTTCAATAAAAAATTGGACCCCCTTCAGTTTTTAATTATTATTTTTCTCTTACTAAATTGACAATGCTCGCAATAGGTTCCTATTTTTTTTTTGGCGCATATTAATTTTCCAGTTGTTCAAACTGAGCTATATCGACGGTGCAAGTCGGCAATCACATAACTCGTTTGCGGTGTGTGAAAATCTCCGCTTGAATATTATTTCTTTTAAGGAGAACAAATTGACATCACTCCTTGAAGTTTTTGCAGAATTTTCTCCGCATAGAGAAGAAAAATCATGGCAGTTTTAAAGAATGGCCGTTGAGTAGTTTTCCGTGTAATAAATAATTTATGATAGGAAGTCTGCGACGTCGCAAACCGAGTTATGTGATTGCCGACTTGCACCGTCGATATTAAACCTGATGCATTTTTTCATTTAATCATGAATGGATGGTCTTATCAGGGATACATTTTGACGAGAAAATATTAACCAAAAATCATAGAGGTCCAAACTTGTTTTATGAAAAAATTCTCATAAGTTTCCTTAATTTTTGTCAAATGAAATGATATTGGTCTCAATTGGTAGATATTTACTTGATCTCTTAGCCAAGACCAAGATTAGGTTTATTGCTCCATTACCTAGGTTTGACTTTACAGGACCAATCTAACACTAATCATAAAGCTTTTGGTTAAAAAATTAGGTTTGAAAAGCACATGATTGATTTTTTAGGATTTTTAACCAACATTTATAAATCCGATGGCTATTGCAATCTTATTACAGTTCTTGCTATGAAGAATGGTAGGTTAGGGGGCGTCAGAGACTTGGCTAGTGGAACTGTTAAAAGATTGAGACACTGGTAGATTTGCTCATTCAAACAATTGCCAAAGCAAATTAATCCTATAAGGACAAACAGAGTCGCTCACTTAGGAGTCACTCTAACCCAGCATTTTGCGTTAGCAGACTAAAAACAGTCTAGAATTAGTAATAATTTTTCACCTGAAGTCCACAACATCCAATGGCATTTAAGATAGACGCATTATGAATGACTTTGTATGGAATGCCCAAATTCTTGGCCCTCAAGACCAAATCAGTGTGAGTAGTGGCTCCAAAGGGATCTCCGACAACCAACAAAGCTATTTCTTTCTCGTTTGCACCATCAAATAAGACATCTGTTTGTTGCTCAATAAAGTCTCGGTCTGCGATAACAAGTTCTCGACCGTAAAATGACTCCTAAAAGAAAAAAAGATACACATGGAAATGATGATAATTCAAAACTAAAAAGCATAAAATGCAAAACAATTTTAAAAAAAGTTAATTGAAGCTACATGCAAAGACAGCATAGCACCTTGATGGAAGTTCAGAATTTTTGCCGTTAATTCAGATCGTCAGCAGAAAGTTATCCAATGTTATTGTTCCAAACTTTTAGAGAAAATATTTTGTTTCAACAGAGTGGAGAAAATCATGATAATTATCAAGAAATTACAGAATTTTTTTTTTTTTTTATTAAAAAACTAAGTATGGCTAGAGGACGGCAGTGGAGCGAATCAAGAAATGTCATTCCTCAGTTGGTCACCTTCCGGCCAAAGTATGAGAAGCGCCATACAACGTTTGAAAATTTCCGGCGCCATTTTATTTTTTTATTTGTTTTACAGAGAATTTATTGTTCACCGAAGATGTCCAAAAATTTCACTGTACTTCTGTGCTTCCGATGAAATTCAGCAAAATTTTCAAACAGATTCAAGCAACAATGTCTATGTAAAAATAAAAATATAAAATGGCGGCGGAAATTTTGAAACGTTGCGTGGCGCTTGTGATACTTTGGCCGGAAGGTGTAGAGTTTAGTCACTATGAACTTGTGGAAAGACGATGCGTTTCCAAAAAAATCACTTAGGAGAAAACTAAAAAAATTTAAAGGATAGCAAGAGGTAAATCACTCCTAAACCCAATTGAAAAGAATGTTTATCACTTGTATATTCGTAGTCTTTTCAGTATGAAAGCAGAGAGATTGCAGGATGGTGGTTGAGAATGATTGAAAATCTGCTTGAAGGACAAGCATTAACAGGGAATGGTACAGTCTGAGGTATGACTGAACACGCCAACATGACCCAACAGCCATAAATCCCATTAGACCTGGGTTCGTTTGCTGAGAGTAGAAATATACCCCGTTGGGCTTGATACTCTCTTTATGATCTTGATCCTTTACTTGAACAGTGTGCCTACATTTATGGAAGATTTGAAAAATTGATTCAACTTTCCTAAACTCCTAGATGAATTTTGAGTCATTAGACAAATTAATATTGATTCTACTCAAGTACCAATAAAGAACTCTGACGACAGGTAAGTGTCGTGACTAGGTATTACCAAGGCTTGTTGACCGACTGACAAAATTGAAGTGTATGCTTCAAGATACACTTTGTCAGCTCGCTTCACGATTTCTAATCCTTTGACGCTGATGTCTTTTGCATCGCCAAGTCCGAGACCAATAACGTAGAACATCTTGTATCAAAATTCGATCAAAGCACCGTCGAGAACACGTGTTAGCTCACGATGTAAACAAACCCTCTTACGGAACAAACTGCCCGAACTTGTCAATGCAAAAGGAACTCAGATTGATGGTACAAATTAAAATAAAGAGAAATTTTTATGGGAGGTCGCGGAAAGTCTAAATACCGAAAAATCAACAATGAAAGTTACAAATTAATATTTATACTTATCAGTTTATCAATGGTTGTCAGCGGTTGACAACAACACGCAACCCTAGCGCCCTATCGCCTCGGATCGGATAAAAGAGGAACTAACAGCTAAGATTTGATTGGTCCACGGATTTGGCAGCTGGAATTGGCGGGCGTTTAAAATAACCGCGGGAAATTCAATTTAACGCGCCCAGTATCCCTTGTGCGTCTTCATTACTGTGCTTCAAAATGACTTAATAAATGAAAATTTAGAGATTTACGAGAGAAAGGTTTGTGAAATGTGGACATTTTTCAAACATTAAATTATGATGACAACATTTTTCGGTGAAAAAGGAGGAATAACCCAGGGCGCATAATTATAAAAAATAAAAGAATTGGGCTAATAATGAAGGAAGTTGATACTTAAAAATGGATGTGCTTCTCAGCTAATTTAGCAGCTTATCAGGTCAGGACAGCTTATCTTGGAAAGTTAAAAGTGCATGGACGTGAGCACAGTTAAGTAATTATTTTCCGTCCCTTTGCTTACGAAAAATGAAACGCAACATTGCGGAGACGAGAAAGTAAAAATCCACAGTAATTTCCCTTTCGTTGTCTTCAGTCGGCATAGCAGCGATTCTATTTACGTTCTTATCTTACGAATTAATAATGATAGACATTTCATTTGATGGACTTCAGAGTAGATATCACTTCAAAGTTTCTAAAACGATATGCTTCCAGCGATTGAACACACACGACGGCGCACAAAAGACCGCAATCGCGTATCTTGATAATAGATCGTATTCGATACATCAAACGGGTGAGATTGTATCGATATCGATTGGTTCAAAACATATAAACATAGCCTCAAAAGTAAATTCAGAAATCTGAGAGAACGGATCTTTTGAAACAGATTTTTTATTCTTTTGAGTACCAAATGCCAATGCAAAGTGAAATTGTCAGGAAATTTCTCATTTTCAGCTTTCCCAATTAAAATCCCTAGAGTTTGGTTTGAGGTTATGTTCTATTGTTTTGAACCAAACGATACATCGAACCGTTATCGAATACGGTCTATAGTTATATAGCTTCAGAAATGAGGTGCAGTAGATGTTTTCTATCAGCTTGCAAGATATTCTAGTAGAAAAAAATCCCTAAAGTATCTAAAAACGTAAACTCAAAACATGTATCTTGGAGTTAATTCCAAATACATGTATCCCGTGCCGCCGAACAGCATTGCCACGATGCGCATTCTTCCGACGGACGATGAAACTCGACCCACGTATCTCGTTTGCGACGTTGGAAAAATTTCGCTCCTATTTTATTTCTTTGAAGGGGATCAAATCAGTACCATTCCTTGTTTTTCAGAATTTGCCTCATACAGAGAAGAAAAATCACGAACATTTTTAAGAATCAACACTGAGTTGTGCTTTATTTGAAAAATAAAGTATGCCAGGAGAATTCGTAACATATCGCAAACAAAGATACGTTGTTTAAGAAAATTCCGGCCTTAACGGTCGAAACTGCAGTAGCGGCACAGGAATACCGAAAACCAAACCGGGACGCTCCTTCAATAATAAGCTTCCATCGCCTTGCTAAGGCGCAGGGATACAACTTTTTGAACTCTCCGGAACGCGTGAGGTATCACGCCTCAATAGAAGGCGTTTTCGAATCTTCAGTATTTTCATGACCAGATTTTCCAAATTTAAAAAAATTTGGAAAATCTGGTAAAACAATATAATGCAAAAGCATTATATTGTAGATTTGAGTTCCTTTTATTCTTTAGTTGAATTACTCCTGCTTTTTAATTTTTAATTATTCTGCAAAAACTATCCACTTGCGAATACAACCCTCGCTTTAGCGCCATGAAGTATTAAGTTGATAGTGCTTATATCAGATTGTTACTGACTTAGAAACTTCTCTTTTATTCTGTACTAATCATAAAATGCACCCATCCATATTTGAACCTTCTGAATTTCGAAAAAGCAGTTGCACAGTTAAAAAACAAGATTAACATTACTCTATTCTCATTACTTTCAATTCCTATCGTTAATGGCATCTTGTATGATTACTTTTTCTTTATTATCTCTCCCTACGATTGTAAAGTCAGACTATGTAACCGCACATTTCCTGAACGACGATATTTTCTCAGCTCCGATAGTGAATCACACCGAATCTCGGAATTTAATCTAATCTCAAGTGTTCACAGATGCACCGTTCTCCACTGGAATATTCATCAACTCAACAACTCTTGGACGCCAATGAAATCTGCCTGAATACCATGCATTTACAGCCACTTGAAACGAACTTTGTACATCTTGCTCTTGCAAATCTCAGCTTGACAGATTTAATATTCATCAGGCCCGCCACATCCCATCTCGGGCCCTGGTACTAGTTTTAAGGTCCGGGCCCCAAGCACGGAGGGGGGAGGGGGGTCCAAGGGGCATCCCCCGAGAAATTTTAGAATTTATACGACTAATCGGACGCATTTTGAAACTTCCATAAAGAATTTTTCCATCAATTCCTGCGGAATAATTATGTTTTTTTTTTCTACTTCCAGCACAAAATACTTGCTAATTGTTGCATTCAAAACATCTGGAAATTTTTTTTTTTTGGGGGGGGGGCAGCATATGATACTATTTTCAGTTCTAAGAAGGCCAGGCCCCCCTGGACTCCCCCTTCGTTTGTCTATGGCAAGGGAGATGAGCCAGGAGCCATTGAAGTCGAGGATGCCTAGACTGGAGACTCTCAGCATCTGACGACGGAAGAAAATGAAACGCAGTTACTAAAAATATCCCTCTGTACTGAAAATCTTGAAAATAGATAGAAATTTTCCAAGAAGTATACTTCTTTGAAAATNCCCCCCCCCCCCTTGTGGCGGGCCTGTCAATTAGTTATTCTGCATATATGCCATTACCAATTATTCCATTTATTATGTATTATATTAATCCCTAGGCGTAGTGTTGATTTTTTTTTTTCAAATTACTACCTTTAAAACTCAGTTAGTCCCATTCACAAATAGAATGTTACTCCTTTGAGTTTTCACTAGGAAGGGAGGAATTACATGCGTCACTTTCTCTTACGTCATTATTCCTCTATTGATAATGAAGCCCCATATATACACTTTCAGCTTTGACCGCAGCGTCATTCATTCTTCATTTTCATCGAGAGTTCAAGCCTTCTGTGCTTTGTTTACATCGTATGTTTTGATTGTAGTGATCCCTGTTCTCGCAAATATATCTTTTTAAAGTTTATTTTTCGGGACTTGTATTTTATTCGCGCGGGGCAGGGTTGCGCCTCGCCGCATTACACCGGCGGCGTAGAGGAACGGACGGTGGGGTGGGAGGGGGATATCCGGTGGAAAAGCATCCATATTTTCAATCCATAATGAAAATGCATCATTCTTTTTCAATGTAGATGAGGAAATAAGAGCCATACAAGGAAGTGATGAAAAGAGTGACAAATACATATAAGTAGTTTGTACGATTAGGAGCGTAAGTGGGGAAAATTTGCCGTAACTACAGAACAGCCCTGAAAATCTCCGGGAAATAAGAACTGCTATTGTCAACATACCTGTTGATCATCAAAACAGAAAATTCTCACCCACCGGAGGTACCGGAAACCACTGGTATTTGACTAATTAAAAAGATTGTGCGATGTTGTCGAATAGTAAGCCCTTTACGCGATCAAATGCGATTAGTGTAAATTTAATTGGAAAAGTTGAAGAAAAATTTGATGAAAGAAAATTACCCTAAATTCGGGAAGTGCTCCAAGTGTTTTTCTACCATGTGAAGTGTTTGCACATGAATGTCAATAGCAGTGCGTGGAAAACCTCTGATCTGGTAATTCCAATATGGAATGAAAAATGTAGAATCCCTGTGATACATAGTGTCCATGTTTTTAAAAATGTTTACATTTTTAAGAGGAGTGGAGGCGCGTATCAAAATGAAGTAGAGCAGCAAATTTTTGGAATAAAATATTCTATTTGCGCATAAAAATTAATGAAAATGAAAGTTGTTCGCAATGAACAAGGGTACAATAAAATTAAAATAGATAACTTATACTTGTGATGATGGAATGATGGATGGAGATTCGTTTGAGAGAGTTACCTCCTTTGAAACCTTTTGTTTTTTCTCCTCCAGATCCTGAAACAAAAAAAAAACAAATTGCTTTATCTTGATTTTTTAAAAAAAACTCAGAGGTGACTCTTTGCACACTTCATACCTACCTATGCTACAAGCTGCCTTTACCCGCAAAGTGAAATCGCGGTATGTTTTCCGGGACGCCTTGTTAAAGGTGCCGCGGACAATGTGATACCACATGATGTGCAGAACGGGAATAAATCGCCCTCAGATGCGGGTGTGTGGGGTTCTTCACCCCCCTCCCCAACAAAATATTTTTTCTTCTTTTTTAATAGGGTTGTTGTTACAAAAAGACTCATATCCGACGGATATCCGTCTGAAAATACTCACTGAATCATCTAAGATAGCTTGGATTGCTGTCCGTTTCCGTTTTTGAACATCAGTTGGCATTTCGTTAAGCTGTGCAACTATGTAATCACCGTGCGTTTCGTTGACAGTTTTTACTCGTGCTGAAGCATCTGGAATGGAAAATTTCATATAATAGCGGAACTTGCACTTAAACTATCATAACGATTTTAAAAATGCAGAAGTGCGTAACTCGATTTTTGACAGTTTTGAGTTGGCTGCATAAACGTGTAGTTGAAGAAGTCGTCTATCGGCCAGCAAAAGACAATAATCGAAAAAAATCGGGAAGTCACCCAAAACCGTAGAACTTTTTTCGCGTATCTCGGGCTTAAGTGCAGGAATGCGTATCTCCGTGCAGGCCTGTTCATATTTCGGCGCACCTTACGCACAACCAATCGCAACGCGCGCTCCTCAGCAGCGTTTCCCGCCAACACCGCACATCAGCTGATCAGCTGTACTGTGTTTGTTTTCAATGGTTTTCATTTATCTATCTATATCTAAAAGAAAAGTTGATGAGGATAAATGTGGATAATCAGGCAGTCCAGCATGCACAATATCAGTGAATGCTGGTGATAGGCCGATAGACGAGGGAAGGGGGGGATTAGGTACTGTTACCTGTCATTAATGTTGCATACGCTTGTAATTGAAGGCGTTTTATCACTCGAGGGCCCTCCAGTATCATTTCTTCATAGGTATCTACTACCTATACTAGCAGCGCGCGGCGTTCATGTCCATTTTTACTCTCTGGGCCAATGCAATCATGAACTGATTGAACTGATGGTTCATCACAGCGGTCAGTTTTATTGGAGTCAATCCAATCAAACAATGCTTTATACATAGTGTATTGGATCGACTAAAGCTTCCAAATAAGTTTTAAGGTTGAATAAATTCTATTTTTGATCTTAATGATCAAAAGTAGCTTCAAAACGCTAATTGCAGATTATGCGTATCTCGTGATCTAATGTCAGTTTCCAATCATACAATGCTTGATCCGGCCGTATGAGGTCAAACTAAAACTTCTGATAAAGAATTGTAAGCATGAAACCCTTTTTTCGGTTTTTAAATGATCAAAATCCGCCAACAATAGGTTTAAAACACTAATTGCAGAAATGCGCGTATCTCGTGATAAAGTCCCAATTCTTAGTGCCAAAAACGCGAATCTCGGCATTTCGGCCGTATTTTCTAACAGCGCGAGAAGTTATTCAAAATATCGATAAAGTCTGAAAAAGCATCTTATTCTTGCTATCCTCAAGAATTATACCCTTCTACTGACAATAAGGAGGAATGTAGACAGTTTTTTTACTCTCCTGAAAAATCGTGTTTCCCGAGATACGCACTTCTGCACTTTCACCATCGATAATGAGTTTGTTTACGGCTAAGTTAACATGAAATTCTTTTCGTACTGATTCAATTTTCTTCTCTTTTTTCCTGTGCAGAATATTAAGATGTTATTCTATCTATGTCGGCTTTTTGCCTGGAATTGTTTTTAAACTTTTTCGTAACCCTCTGTCACTCATGAGTTTTAAAAATTCACGCTTCGCACCAATTCAATGGTCGCGTTGCTTCCATTTAAACACAAGTAAATTTTGAAAAATACAAAGGAATGATTGCCCACCTTCTCCTCCCTACGATCACGCATATTTTAAAATTTCACCTAAAATATGAAAATAATAAAACCGATAAAAGTCTTACCAGCACACGATGCAACAACTTCACTCATGACCACTTTTTTAAATACTCTGTTTCGTTATTTCCCTTTTGTTGTGTGATAACGGTTCTTCTTTTTCTCAGAGCGTACATGAGATTGAAAACTGAAATCACCTGCGAACTCAATTTTTCTTTTCTTTTAGTTTTAAAGGCTGTTACGAACTTAAATTGAAACAATATTTTTGAAAACTCCGAAGTCAGAACGAATTTGGCGTGCGCGCGCTTTTGTTACACCATGACACCAGCCGACTTTAAACCGGTCATCGGCATCGGTCATCGCGCGTTTTTGAAAGGAGCACCCCTGAAATTTTCAAAGACGCTTTTGAATATTTCTCGCTTCCGGGAAGCGAGAAATACTAGGGCCAAATGGGGTTAGGAGTGGAGAAGTGCCGCTACTGCAGTTTCGACCGTTAAGGCCGTACTTCATGGCGCTAAAGCGGGGGTTGTATTCGCAAGTGGATAGTTTTTGCAGAATAATTAAAAATTAAAAAGCAGGAGTAATTCAACTAAAGAATAAAAGGAACTCAAATCTACAATATAATGCAAAAAAATTTGGAAAATCTGGTCATGAAAATACTGAAGATTCGAAAACGCCTTCTATCGAAGCGTGATACCTCACGCGTTCCGGAGAGTTCAAAAAGTTGTATCCCTGCGCCTTAGCAAGGCGATGGAAGCTCATTATTGAAGGAGCGTCCCGGTTTGGTTTTCGGTGTTCCTGTGCCGCTACTGCAGTTTCGACCGTTAAGGCCGGAATTTAAGGGCGCTAAAGCCAGGGTTGTATTTCGCAAATGGATAGTTCTTGCAGAATAATTAAAAATTAAAAAGCAGGAGTAATTAAACTAAATAATAAATCAAACTCAAATCTACAATGCCTCGAGATGCGCTCAAGTAGAGGTAAAATTTCAAAAATTTTCCGGAACCTTAAAATGCATAAAACTGGGTGATTTTTAGGCAGAAATTGAAGGAAGATTAGCGCCGAGGTAAAATTTCAAAAATTTTCCGGAACCTTAAAATGCATAAAACTGGGTGAATTTTAGGCAGAAATTGAAGGAAAATTAGCGCCACGACTGCCTCGAAATGCGCTCAAGTAGAGTTGAAATTTCAAAAATTTTCCGGAACCTGAAAATGCATAAGGCTGGGTGATTTTTAGGCAGAAATTGAAGGAAAATTAGCGCCACAACTGCCTCGAGATGCGCTCAAGTAGAGTTAAAATTTCTAAAATTTTCTGGAACCTTAAAATGCATAAAACTGGGTGATTTTTAGGCAGAAATTAACCCCGGACCCCCCGCTGAGCTGGGAGGTATTCCGTACCCCCCAGACCCCCCGGTGGTGGGGGGCCAGGCCCTTCCTAGCAAAATGACCTAGCTACGCCTATGAATTGTCCACCATCAAAACTCACTAAGTTGGAATGCTTTGGAACCACAGTTCGGAACCAAGGGTTCATCTGACTTAGCAGGTCTTCGGAGGTAAGCCGACTTTGACACGGCAAAACGAAAAAAATGGGACAAAGTCATAATTGTAGGCTCAGTAGGGTTCCTGACTCAAGCGGGCTCTGAATTGGTGTGACTGTAATTTTATTATTAATATAATTATATTTATATATAAATTATATTTATATTACATTAATATTATTATTTTATTAAAATTTACTGATTTTATTTCAGTTACATAAAAATGGTATTTTTCATTTTCATGCTAGGCTATTTTTAGGCAAGACAGCCTAAGTGCTATCTTCTGCATGCTTTCGTGGTTGCGTTTTGGACACACATAACAAACGCATTTTCAGGTTAGAGATTCGCAGAAGAGGGCGGCACTTTACTTGAAAGCACTGTTTTCATTGGCTCTCTGGAAGAATATCGTCACTTACTGATGTCTTGCCTAAAACTACGTCAGTTTTTGCGTACTTACGGCTTTCTCATTATGTTTCGTTTTGATACAATTCAGATGAATTTCGCTGTTTTAGCAATTTCAGTGACTTCATCTAAGAGAGTTCAGACGAATTTTGAAGGAAACTCGATTTCGAAAATTTGACACTTACTGTCTCTTCGCTATCAGGGCAGATGGGTCTGAAGGCGGATTTTAGCGAAAAATGCGAATTCCTTGGCACTCGAGGGAAAACACGTATTTTTTTTGCCAAAGTCAGCCTTCAGACCCACGTTCAGGCTAGCATTCGACCCGAATAGAGACCCGCGGAAATAGCCGAATCATGATGCATTCGTAAAATAGAGCTCTTCAATGAGCAAAACGTTGCAGAGTTGAGGAAATTCAGGTTGGCCCCAGAAACGACACTTATCGATACCTCTTTTTTATTAGAATTGATCGAAATTGACCTGAAGAATCGTTGGCTTCCAAGTGCAGGGTAGAGGGAAATTCTGCCGTCTTGAGGAAGAACGACACATGAGCCTGCAGACGCTGCCAAATTTCATTTAATAAATAACGAATTTTTTAACGATACGTTTTCTTCCGATTCACTGGAAAAAAAACACATTGTATCTAGAGTCCAGACTCCTAAAAACATCGACAAGAAAAAATACTCTTGATTCAATCGAATTTTTGCTTAAATCAAGAACCAAGCCTCTTAATTTGAGCGGATTTCCTTTTGATCTAAGCAAAAATCTGATTGAATCAAGAGTATTTTTTCTTGTCAATGTTTTCAAAAGTCTGGACTCTAGATCCAATGTGTTTTTTTTTCCCAGTGTTTTGCTCAGAATTTCGTCCGCACTTCGATTAACAGTTTCTGAAAATTTCAGAAAAAATATGCGTAAAATTTCTCAAAAGTGAGAGTTTTATTGGCAAGAATTTGGCGACTTTCGAATTTCGATACGGCGTCCTCCCTGAACAAGGCAAGATTGGCATGCCCCCGTCCTCTCAGAATGACGCCCCTGCTTACAGAAAGTCAAATTTCTGAGTCTCACCCCCTCCACAAGCGTAGCCCCTGACGCCGGGCCGGTTGAACTTTCCGCCTGTTGCAGGTCGATTCGAAGCGGGGGGCCGGTGGGGGGGGGAGGGGGTCGCACGGGGAAAATTGAAACTTTTACGGAAAATGGACGAACGTTTAAAAGGAGGAAAAGTGTACTCATAATTGCTACAGCGGGTTGCCCAAGGAAGGGCAGACGGGGTGAGTGATGCGGAGGGGTATGCTGCCGTCCTAAGGAAAAACCCCGTATGAACATTCGAGAGTTGCCAAATTTCTGTCTATAAAATGTTCATTTTTGAGGAAAATCATGAATATTTTTCCTTGGGATTTTCAGAAACCTCGGATCAAATTACAGACGCAAAATTATCTGAAAAATTGGCCGCAGAATATTCAAACATATTCTTGAAAATCAGTGATTTACCAGAGGGAATTTGGCAACGCCTGAAGGCTCATGCGGCGTTTTCCCTGAGCGCGGGAGTATGCCAATTCCGGTGTACGGGTGTAACAGGAGACAGAGAGTAAAAGTTCAAGCTTCCCAGCGTTGCGTTCGCGTGTCGCGTCGCGTCGCGTCGGCGGGAGTATGCTTTTGAGCATAACCAGGGAGTCCGGCTGTGAGCCCCCAGCCTGCCTCAGCGCAGCCCTCTATATTGATTGAGACCCCATCTACCCCTCCCGGTCCTCCCCTGTGTGCAGCTAACCCCTCCAAAGCTCGGCCTGTTCGCCAGCCTCCTCAGCTCGGCTAACACCATTACAGCTTCGCTCCTCCACAGTGTCTGTTGCTATCGGCCAAGCCTAGTTTCTCCCTTCGATGGAACCTACCGCCTTCACCGCACACAACTTCCTCATAGGTGAGACGCTTTTTCTACTCTCGTTTCCCCCAAGTATCTCCAATTCCGCCTCCGAAATCCCCCCTTTAATTGCTCCCTTATCGCATCGGTCCAGGTGAGCAGGTGCCTATCAAAGAGGGTCCACTTATTTGGATTTGCCTACGGGATGATGAGCTTTTTCCGGTTTTTTTCGGTTCGTATAGATAAAATGTGTCTTCGTTTCGAATCGTGGGGCTCTGTGAACCTTGGTGTTGCGTTTTTATTGAGCCGCATAACTCCCAAACCTCATCTCGTGAGTTCCAGATGCTAAAAAAAATTCGATGGTTATCAGTTGAAACGTGGTCGCAATTCTACATTTTCGCCGTGTAGCAACTTTTCATATACTTTTATGTGCTGAGTGTGCAATTTTCATTCATTATTCGGCATTTCAAATTTAAAAGTGAGACTTGAACTTTGAGAGAGAAAGAGTGAAAGTTCGCGACGTCTACGCATGTCACAAAGCGGCTTTTGACGAGTACCTATTGCAATGATCAGTTCGGAAAAAGAATTAAGATTACTTTCACGATATTTGGCTGAGTAAATGTCTTAAAGCAGAGGGTCGATTGCTTAGAATAAAAAATAGGAAAATACCTACGGCAATCCAGCTTCCAAAAGCTTATTTTTATATTTCTTTATTTGGTGAATTTCCTAAAAGTTCCCTCATCAATATGTGATCGGTCTTCGTCGACTGCACTAAAAACAGATTAACAATTCTGTATTTTTTATACAATTTTTGTTTCTCTTAGAAGGCGCTTATGGTTAAAATGAGAGTGTTCTCGCCTCCTTCTCTCCTTCCCTGTCACCTCCGTTTATGAAGCATCGACCGTTTCACTATTACACATAGCGACGGTGAAACTACCAAACCACGTATCTCGTTTGCGGTGTTTAAAAATCTACGCTCGCATTTTATTTTTTTGAAGTAGACCAAATCAATATCATTCCTTGAAATTTTCACAGAATTTTCTCCGCACGAAGAGGAAAAATCACAGAAATTTTCAAGACTGGACGTTAAGTAGTTTTTCATTTAAAAAATAAAGTATGACAGGAAGTCTGCGACGTCGCAAACCGAGATACGTGGTTTGGTAGTTTTACCGTCGATAGATGCATTTTAATTCGCCTTTACGGCCCTTTGTGATCTATTTTAAGACAGTGACAGTCCAAGAGAGGAATGTATGAAATGGACGTATTTATCTTAAATGGAACTATGTGCAAGTGGGAATGATGGGGTGTGCTCGTTAGTTGAGGGCCATGAGAATGAATGGGATTTAAAAGCGCTAGTGACGTCAGCGGCGACGTACGAGGAGGCATGACAGGGAGATCGGTGGCGGGACTCTTTAACTCATGAGCCCTGTCCACAAGGCTCTTGTCACATGTCCACGGCTCACGAGTTAGTGCTCAGTTCCTTTTGATTTAATGTCAAATCCCGCTTTTCCATTTTCTCAAAAGGAACTGTATCTACTTTCACATTTTTTCTCATGCAGCTTCCACGAGCACACCCCGTCTTTCCACTTGCAAATAGTTCCTTTTGGCATCGATATGTCCAAATGATTTGTCAATAATCGGTTTTAAGATAAAATGTTGGCGCTCCTGAGGTGGAGCCCTATAGTAAACTACAGTACAGTTCAACTTAAGGAGGGAACAATCATAGTTGTTTTGTTTTCCCCCTTTCACAAGCCGATTCATTAATTTCAAGATTCATTCTCAGCGATGATTACGGCTTCATGAGTCTATGTCCGGTGTCCATCATCATTTCCCCGTTTTCTTTGGTCACGCAATCGAGAGATGAAATGGACTGCATTCTGCAATAAGGAACCACAATTTGTGACTCATCTGTAAAAGCATCTATCTGCATTGGGAAACTAATGGCAAATACGTCGTTTCTTAAATGAGCCAGAAATAGTAGTTCCTTATTGCAAAATGAAGTCCAAATGTACGTTCGCTGTATCAAACCCACAATTGGACTACATTTTGCAATTTGGAACTATAAATTCTAGCCCGGTATAAAAACAACGTAAGTGCCATTAGTTTCCCTATGCACATAAGTGTTTTTCCAGAAGAGCCGGAATTTATAGCTCCAAATTGCAAAATGCAGTCCAATTCGTCGTTACCAGGATGAAGGAACGTAACTACATTCCAAGGTTGCGAAATTGACTGAAACAATTCAATTTTTTTTCAAAAATGTACCAGTGCAATTTTTGTCCGATATTTTCTGATTTTTGCATGAGATCAGAGGAAAAATCGGTGAAATTTTCATTCAGAAATGCCTCAGATTCTCCGGCTGAAAATGTAATTTGCGAGGGGAAATTTGGCAGCATTGAAATGTTTTTACGTTCTTTCTTCAGAGAAACGACGGAACGGCATAAGTAAGTTGGATTCTTTCAGGTTCTCATCCGATCGATTTCACTTGCGAGTGTAGGCAGGCCGCTTTTGGAATACCTACTGTTCATGTTTGAAACAAAACGTACCATTTGGTGACCGAATTTTTCCGTCAAAGAAATTGAACTCAGGTTCAGATGGACCACATTTTGCAATGAGGAACCATTATTTCTGGCTCATTTTAGAAACAGCATATTATGTGTCATTGGTTTCCCCCAAGCAGAATGATGCTTTTTTGGAAGAGCCAGAGATAGTGATTCCCTAATGCAAAATAGACCACATTTTGCAATAAGGAACCATTATTCCTGGCTCATTTTAGGAACAACATATACGCCATGGGTTTCCCTATGCAAGAAGGTGCTTTTATGGAAGAGCCAGAGACATCAGTACCTTATTGCAAAATGTAATCCAAATGTAATCCAGATAATCCATGTCTCCGGAAGCAAATATGAGTCTCAGTACGGTTTCTTCAAAGTTTGGTTTCTCCGGCTGAAAATGTTGGTTCCATGAGCTGGAAATCGCTGTGTGTCTTTCGGTTTCCTCAGTTGCCAAATGCAAGCGACAAAAGAAGAGGAAAATAACAGTGGTATAGCGTAATTTGCGATATATCGATTGATCTAGTTATTAAAATCTATGGTAGAGGATCGATAAGCAGGGTGTTCGCGACGAACACTTTAATACTCGATTCTTTACCACAGCTTCAAATGGGGAGATAGAAATGACTTGAAAGCTGTGTGCATCTTAGGCACATTGACACATAACAGCAGGTACATTTTATCATACATATATCCAGCAACATTGGAACAGAGACAGCAAGGAGCCCTCCATTACTGTAGTGTCTTCGAAAAGAGCAGTAAGTACACGAATGAAAGCTCTGAGGAATGAATCTCTAAGTCCGAGCGGAAAATTTCACCAAACGAATTGCAGCACCTGCGAATCATGTGATGCCACCATTCGAAATTGGTGGATGTCCATGATGCATCGCAAAAAATGAAGGCGCGCAGGCGATCTTATCTCACAGAGACAGCAGGTGCCCCTAGCGTTTTGGCGACGAGTGCAGAATCACAAGCGCCAGTTTCCCGAAAGAAAATAAGTTTTTTCCCAACTTATTTCAAATACTGTTGATAGCAAACGCGCTCCTCGCCTATCCTGCCGTGCTTAGGAAAAACACAGTATGAACCTTCAGACGTTGCCAAATTTCCTTTGATAATAGACAAATTTCCAGGTAAACTTGTGAATATTTTCCTTCCAATTTTTCAGATAATTTTTTTTACGATTTCATCTAAGGTTTCAGAACATTTAAGGGAAAAACACCCATAACTTTCCTTAAAAATGAACGTTTTATCTGAGGAAACTTGGCAACTCTCGAATGTTCACACGGCGTTCTTCCTTAGCACGGCAGTATCTACCATAACTCAAGCCGAGTCGAGAGTTCTAGTTATCGAAAATCAGTTTTTTGTGTTTCCTGTAAAATTAGCGTTTTGGCGTTGTGATACTCTGTTGGGCAGAGAACAATATGGGTCCGGTTAGCGAAGGATTGTTCATTAACAATGTCTCTTTTTTGGGGGGGGGGGGGGTGATACACCGTAATGGGTGCGTGACGAGAGATAGTAGCGGGGCTCCTCAACCTAAGCACGGTCGGGTGCGCTGCGATAATTGCAGAACCTGCGATGCAACTATTCGAACTTGGTGGATGACCGTGTTGCGTCGCGGAAAATGAAGGCGCGCAGGTGATCTTACTTCACAGAACCAACAGGTGCCACCGCGGGCGCTCTATTTTAAGCCGTTGGGCGAACGATGCGATGTTTTAACAGGAGAGAGAGAAGCTTAAGGACCGTTCTGCCGTATTACCGAAGGAGCGATCAGTGCAAAAATGAGTTTTTAGGACAATTTCAGGAAAAACTCCACTAGTATCTTGGCAATGGTGGAAGCTTTTACTTTCGGGACTTCAGCATTCTACTGTTGACTTACCTACATGGTTGATGTTTAACAACGTGTTGGCAGTTTCGTTTTGCAAACAGGCCGAAGTTTGGGAAACTCATTGACGTATAATCTAGACCGCGCACAAGGCCCGACTTTAGGCGGGGGAGGTAAGACAGCTAGCGGGGTAATCAGGGCAAAGACGCGCCTTCAGCCTAGTTGATACCGCTGGGTATACGAGCTAAGTGTACCCGTATCAGGCAAAGGCTCTGGCAAGGCTGGCATTTCCACCATTGTCTCGGTACATATCGCCGGTACACTTGCTGGGTGTTGCTGGGTTGCCTATCGTCTCGCTTGAAGGGAGCCTAGTTTTCCTAATGTGCGGTCTAGATTGTATTATGCGTCAATGGGGAAACTTGATTGGCTCATGACGTCACCCGAGGCTGATTATCCATCATGTAGGTAGGTCAACAGCCGAAATAAGAGTGATGACTGTTGCTCCCTTATAATGAAGGACTAAGGGACTGCCATAAGGAAATTAAGGAATTGTTGAAGTCCATAAGGAATGGACCACTAGACAAGGCACGATTTATAGGATTCTGACGCATGTTTCGCAACCAAAATTGTACGCAGAACACGATTCGTGCAACGAAAATGACTGAAACCAACTCCTAACAAAGATATTAACGTTTTTATTTCACATTAGTTACAAGGAATTTGAACTGCCCGCTTACAAGAAACTCAAAGCTCTACGTGAGTCAAATCGCGCACTACAACGGTTTCAGCAATCTTCTCAATCGAGCAATGTTCATTTCCCACCATGTGTTTTCCAAACTATAAGTTATTTGCTACAGCTGAGCTAAGGCGTCAAGATTGAGGTTGCCTGATTTTTATGTCGCAGAGACTGTCATGATAACGTTTAGCGCGCGATGTGAATCACGTAGAGCATTGAGTTTTCATGAGCGAGTAGTTTGAATTCGCGCATCAAGAATCATTAAATATCTTCGTTAGAAGTTGATTTCGGTAATTTTTGTTGTGCGCATCGTGTTTTACGTGAAGTTTTAGTTACGAAACATGTATCAGAATGCTGAAATTCGTACCTTGTCTAGTGGTCCATTGTTGAAGTCCATACGGAATTGTTGAATCCCCGAAAGTAAAAGCTTCCACCTGTCGCCATGTCTCTGGCACCAATTATGCTCCTTTCGACGTCTCACCCTCTTGTAGTGCCTAGTCTAACCTCCCTTGACTCTATTCTAAAATTTCGTCTGCTGCTTGTTCCAGAATGATACAGTCTTGTGATGGAGGAGTTTTTAATGGCGGTAGGCGCTGGATACGCAGTTTTCCGGGGAGGCGCCCTCGTGACACATTTGGACGCGCATACTGCCCGACATTACGTCCAATAACTCTGTAAGTACTTGTAATAATTCACAGCGAGTACTGTGCAACAGGACCGGATTTAGGAGTCAGGAGGAGACAGCGGCAAAAGGCACTTCCTACCGAGGCACCTCTGAGGGGTTTCCTACTCAAAGAAATTACACACTGAAAAAAAAAATCTCAGTGTATTTACTAAGAAAAGGGTAAAATTACCAAGAACTCAGGGTTCTATTTTGATCCCAGTTTTTTCTTGGTAAAATTACCATTTATGGAATTGGTAATTTTACCGAGAAATCTTGGTAAAATTATTGAAATTTCTCGGTAATTTTACTAGACCTTGGTCAATATTTTTTATCGACTGTGGTAGAATTATCGAGATAAAATGGCAAAGTTACCGGGAATTGATAACCAATAAAAGTGGTATACTTACCTGAAGAAAAAACAGTAAAAATACCGGTTTTTAGGTAAGCTTACCAGTCTGACTTGGTAAAATTACCAATAATTGGTAAAAAAGTGAGATGGTAAAGGTACCAACGGACCTTGGTAAAAACGCCGAGAATTTTTTTTCAGTGCACGGCGACGGTGAAACTTCAAAACCACGTACGTATCTCATTTGCGACGTTGCAGACTTCCTGCGGGCTGATTATTGACATTGATAGACAAAGACGTAGACAGAGAAGAATAGAAAGTATGGAGCAATCCTATTAGTTGAAACTTGTGGTTGTTATATACTAAGGGGGAAATGATGGACTAACCGTTGGAGCTCTCAAGGGTTGCCGTTAGCTAGTCTATCATTTACCTTTTTTGTCCATCGCAACCAGTCGCTTCCACCAACAGGATCGCTTTAAATGTCTTTTGTCCTCTTTGTCTATCGCTTTGTCTATAAATTCAATAATCCGCCTGCTGACGTACTTCATTTTTTAAATGGAGAGCTGCTCGACGTCGACTCACGAAAATTTCCCTGATTATCTTCTCTGTGCGAAGCAAATGCTGAAAAACTCCATGGTGTTAATTTGCTCTGGAGCTATTTTCAATAGCTAAACTAATCAGTAAATAAACAATCTCAAATACCAGAGGAAACCAAACTGGATCGCAGTAACTTTTTATATATTTTAACAGCATACACAGAACAGCAGGGAGAATCACTGGGCAACTAAAAACCATACAGTGTTGTAAAGTTTTTACATTCTCCCCCCTTAAAAATTGTATACAGATTGAATATCATTACAAATTTGAAAATTTTGAAATTTAAATTTCATCAGTAAAAACTGTGTGTGTAAGTATTTTTTAAGCACATTAAATGGACCGCGTTTAACAGAAAGGAACCAAGCCACATCAGCTGTTGCCAACTTTAATTCGGCAATTTATTTTTTTTCATGAAAACGGTTGTGCAGATTTTCGTGCAAATTTTGGTGAATTTTCTACATAGTACCAAGCTAATTCTTTAAAATTTTCAAAGAAATCCACACAGACTTTCTCTCGTAAAAATTTAAATTACCCGATTAAATTTGGCAATAGCTGATGTGGCTTGGTTCCTTTCTGTTAAACGCGGTCCAAATTTAAGTCATTTTATCATTTTAGTTCAATTTATTTCATTCTTAAAAAAATGAAATAGGAGCGGAGATTTTTAAACGCCGCAAAGGAGATCCGTGGTTTGGGAGTTTCATCTCCGATATATGGTTGTAGGGAGAACAGATACGGAAACCGACAATTTGCCAAAAACTTGCTGATAACCGGCTCCATTTGAAATAAATTCGAACGATTACCCTCCAACCTCTTTCAACCTCTCAGACTGCCCTATGGAAGTGAAGAAATCATATTAAAAGTCACGGCTTAGCTTTCCGTTTGGGTCCTCAATCCGGTCTTGCGAAATAAACATTGATTTTAAAAAAGGGAAGGTCGTGCTTAGAGTCCCTTTATACTCCTTTTATACTGAGAGTCAAGACAATTCGGCTCATGGATGTCACAAACGGGAATAAAGATTACAGAAATTGAACGTTTTTCGTAATCTTTGATCGGCCCATTCTCAAATGCCTTTCTCCGTTCCTCCTCTCATTCCGTTTGTTCCTTGCCGAACCCGTAATTCCCTGGTCCATTCCAGATTATAATCTT